GACCCACAAAAAAAAAAAAAAAAGTTAACTAGTTTATTAGAACTTCACATTTAAAATGTTAGGATCATCAATCAGTCTTCCAAGTCTAATTCAAACTCTTTATTATTTAAAACTTCTCTAATAGCAAATTGGGGAGAGTTTCTCAAAGGAAACATATATCCAATGAAATTTTATATTTTATGAAAGATGGTACTAAGTCCACTTAGTAAATCAGAGATGAGAAAAGCTAATACACTTTTGTCACCTACAAAGTACAACATTAGGGGTTGTGAGAGAAATACAGAGAATAGCATGTCTCTAGCTTTAGCTGGGGACTTGCATAAAGTTCCAATGATAAACAGTACCTGAGTTGCTGAGTTTAATAGTCTTTTCTTTTTAAAACAACAACAAAACCTCAGTAGTTGAAATAACTGATTCACAAATAATTCTGAACCTCTATATTCAGATTGTAGCCTTTGGGCAGTGTTGAATTATAATTTCACTCTACTTGGTACAAAAATTAATGCACATTAATTTAGTTATCTATTGTTTTGCATAAATAATTCCACTTTTACCCATTGCATCAATTTAAGAGGACATTTTGCTGGTAGTTTCTATATATTTCATTTTGTCTGAGGAAGAAACCATTTTAGTCAAAGGAGTTGTTTGTCTCCTAGGACTGGGGTGTGGCTTTAGTAGTTAGCCTTTGCGTGAAAGTCATCAGTCCCATGATATCTTTTACATAACAAATAAGAGCTACTGCTATCATTTTATAGCTTCCTAGAGGCAATGGGTAGAAAGCCTTTGAAAGCTGATAGCTTTCCTATCATTTCTTTTTTTTTTTTTTTGGTCGGTGGCGGGGCTTGAACTCTGAGCTTGGACTCATTTCTTTATTCTGAGGAAAGTTCCTCTGACAAAGGCCAGTCTTACAGAGTAATTACCAAGATAAAGTACAACAAAACCTTACATAGAAATTACTAAGGTAAAGTACAACAAAACAAAACACAAATCAGAATAGTAAAATGGTAAGGAACAAGTTTTTAAGGCAAATAGACCAAAGAAACCAAGCTAAACCACACACTTATTTTTAAATTGGCAAATGTAGTTCCTTCTTTCAAAAGTCTAATATCTGCTATACCAGCACTATAGATGGAGATATTACCAAAAAAAAAAAGTTAGCAATTCAATGACTCTATTCCTGTCTTAGGCTTGAATTGACCACTTGCGACTCTCGACCTGATTCATGTATTTAAATGCTTTCCTTTCTGAAACAGACAGATGCAATGATCAGGACACACGGACTTCCTATAGAATTGGAGACACTTGGAGCAAGAAGGATAATCGAGGGAACATGCTCCAGTGTGTCTGCACAGGCAATGGCAGAGGGGAATGGAAATGTGAGAGGCATGCATCTCTGCAGACCACATCCTCTGGTGAGGCCTGGGTCTGGAGGGGTAGGGGAAGGGGAAGGCTGGTTGGTAGACTCTCTGCTAATAAGCTGAGGTCACTGATACATTGTTACTTTTAAGCTTTTTTTGAATGTCCAATTTCAAGCTTTGGGGAAGAAAATTAAGTGAAGATGAAAGTGAATCTTTGGCTGGGTGCTAATGGCTCACACCTGAAATCCTGTCTACTCAGGAGGCTGAGATTTGAGGATTGTGGTTTGAAGCCAGCTTGGGCAGGAAAGTCTGTAAGACTCTTATCTCCAAGTAACCAGAAAAATGCCAAAGTGGAGCTGTGACTCAAGTGGTAGAGTACTAGCCTTGAGTACAAAAGCTCAGGGCTAGTGTCCAGGCCCTGTGTTCAAGCCCCAGGATGAGCCCATATGCACACAAAAAGAATTTTCGCAATGAAGGGTAGAAATTTAATAGAAATATTATTGGGGTAGGGATAGGGTTCAAGTGGTAGAACATCTGCCTGGCAAGCACAAGGCACTATCAAACCTCAGTACTAGCATTTAAAAAAAAATAAAAGAAATGTGTGTATAAGGCTCAGGGGCAGAGTTGCATGTTTATTCTTAGTATGCTCAAGAACCTGGGTTCGATCACCAACACTAAAACAAATAATAAATGTAAAAATTAAAGAAGTTTTCATGATTTCTGGCATAGTAAAGATAAGTTTTTGCATCATAAATGTTTTATAAGAGTCTAGACAGAGAAATCTGTCCATCAAGGGTATATGATGATGACACAAATGTGGTACGTGGCATGCCTGTTACCCTAGCTACTCAGGATGTTAAGAACTGAAGATTGAGGTTCAAAGCCAGTCTCCACAGACAGGTTTCTCTTATCCCTAATTAACCAGCAAAAAGCTAGTAGTGGAGGCATGGCTCAAGTAGTAGAGCACCAGCCTTGAGCAAAAAAGCTAAGTGAGAGCACAAAACCCTATGTTCAAGCCCTAGTCCCAGCACTAAGAAGAAGAAGAAAATAAGGAAACATGGCCATTAAGAGCAACTCAGTGGAATGAAGCAGAGAGTAAGAAAGAAAGCCGGATTTGAGTCTGGCAAGAAGTTAGCTTTGAAGGATTCTGAAGCTCATGGACTGTGAGTTTCCTGTTATAAGTAAGGATTTCTTGGAAATACTTGCTTGGTAGAGTAGCAACATACTATCTGTCACTTAGAAATACAATCGTGGCAGCTCCAGGTGAACTGGTGGTAGAGTCTTGTGGATTATTTCTTAAGCTGAAGATAGAAGGTACAGTGAATAATGGGAAACATATTTCTTTCCCGTTCCAGGTAATTCCTGTGGGATCATGAAGGTCCTGACTCCAAAGTCATTCGTTGTCTTCTCTCATCTACTTTTGTGACTTTTCATTTCTTGTCTCTTTAGGATCTGGCTCCTTCTCAGATGTCCGGACAGCTATTTATCAGCCCCAGCCTCAACCCCAGCCGGGTCCCTACGGCCACTGTGCATCCGACAGCGGTGTCTTCTACTCTGTGGGGATGCAGTGGTTGAAGACCCAAGGAAATAAGCAAATGCTGTGCACTTGCCTGGGCAATGGAGTCAGCTGCCAGGAGACAGGTATGTGATATCTTTCCAAAGAGCAATACAAGTGACCTTATTAATTAGTTGGGTTATTTTTTTGTTTTTTGTTTGGCAAGGCAATACATTTGAGTATAAAGCAATAAACAAACTAAAAAAGCTTATAATCCTTTTACCTCTTAATGACAACCACAGTGACATTTGATGGATTTTTTTTCAGCCTTTCTAATCTGTGTGTTTTCCTTCCTGTAGTTGGCATTATGCTACTATGTATTCCCTCTATTTGCCAAAAATGTTCCTGCGAGGGCTGCTTTTTGAATAGCTGATTATCCATAGTTTATACTCTTAAAAAAACTTAGTGGTTTTAGACATGTAGTTATCTCAAAAGTTATCTCTTCTGGGCTACAAACATGGTAATAAAAAAAAGTGTCTTTCTCGGAAAAAAAAAACAGATTTCCTTAAAGTAGGCTCAAATATATTATGTTTATTATATCACAGAAGTATGCATACTTATCCCCAGAATCATCTTTAGAACAGTTATTCTTAATTAACCTAAATTTGCATAGTTTTACATGTAGAATAAACATAGAGAAGGCCCCAGGAGTAAGTAGCCAAGGGCATCCAGGGAACTCAAGTCTTTGGCTGTCTCCACGGCAGGCCTGGCTCTCCTGATGGAGTCCTGCTTTAACTGCAGCTAACCAGATGATTATCTATACGCACAGCTTTTTCCTTTGAGGGCACAAGCTCAGTCTCTCATTTTAAGCTATAAATAAGCAGCTGTTAGTGGGAGGCAAAGCCGTTCGCTTGACTGAGACGTTTCTGTCTTTGTGTGTGCTTGTAGCTGTGACTCAGACTTATGGCGGCAATTCAAATGGAGAGCCCTGCGTCCTCCCCTTCACCTACAACGGCCGCACCTTCTACTCCTGCACCACAGAAGGGCGGCAGGATGGACATCTGTGGTGTAGCACAACTTCAAATTATGAGCAGGACCAGAAGTATTCTTTCTGTACCGACCATACTGGTGAGTGTCCCAGGAGAGACCACAGGGTGTGGGGGGGGAAACCCATTCTATTTGCCAACTGTTGAACCATTAATTGTAAAGTTACACAAGGAGCTTCCCATGGGATCTGTTTGGACCCAAGAGATATGGAGCTAACTCAGCAGCAAGGCTCATTCCCTGGTCTCCTGTACCACCACTGTGAAACCACACCCAGGGACAAGCCCTCCAATGCAATTATCTCCACGAGGAGGGATTATGCTGTGATTAAAGATGCTCATGCATGGAAATACATTGAAATTTGCAGAAGGTCCCACAAGGCTGTGCATTCATATGCACAGCTTAGATATCTGAGAGACTTCGCTTGTCTTCCTTCTGGCTAGGATTCTATTTTCTACAAAGCTATCACTTAATCTTTTTTGTTTGCTTGTTTCTTCTTGACTAAGAAAAATGAATGGAATGAGATTGAAATCTATTTTGAAAGTGAAGATAAAAATAGAATAAGAAGCTTAAGACTACATTATCTGACATCTTTTATTCTGGTAGAGGATGTCTGGGAATTAGCTTAAGAAACCTGGTACTCTCTGAGCCTTTCCATTGTAACCTATCCCTTCCTATTTGTATTGTCCTGGCAGTTTTGGTGCAGACTCGAGGTGGAAATTCCAATGGTGCCTTGTGCCACTTTCCTTTCCTGTACAACAACCACAACTATACTGATTGTACTTCTGAGGGCAGGAGGGATAACATGAAATGGTGTGGAACCACACAGAACTATGATGTTGACCAGAAATTTGGATTCTGTCCCATGGCTGGTAAGATAAAACCCTGTGGGTTGCCTATATATATAAAACCCTTTAGGGGGCCAGAGCAGAGACTGGGGTTCTGTTTATTCCTGTTTGGTTCATTTAGATGATATCTATGTATCTCTCTATACATCCTATCATATACGTAAGAATGGAGAGGACTATATAATTATTGGCATACTTTTTTGTTGTGAGGCTTGAACTCAGAGCTTGAACTCAGACACTGTGCTGTCCCTTAGCTTTTTCATGATCGAGTCTGGTACTGTACCACTTGAGCCACAGTTCCACTTTTGAGTTTTTGGTAGTTAATGAGAGATGAGAGTCTCAGCCTCCTGTCGAGTAGCTAGGATTACATGCATGAGCCACCAGTGCTCAGCTTTTAAAATTCCATTGGTGCGATCTAGTGTCAATAGCTACATAAATAATCAAATCCTTTTTTGTTGTTAAGTCTGGAAATATAAATTAGCAAAAGTACTATCTTCTGTGGGAGCACACAGCTAAGAAATCAAACTGACTGCAGTAGTCCCAGACCTACAGTTCTTGATACGAGGCTTTGGTTTGACTGACATAAGCTCTATCACTTATCAAGTGCCATGACCAAACACATTTTCTGACAGTAGGGAATGTTTTTATTTATTTAGTTTCTTGAATGAACAAAAGGGAACCAAGGCCTTTTTATTTGTTTTCAAATTTCAAGAGTCATGTCGATGACCTTGAATTTTCCAGTTGTAGAACCAGGAACCTGTGCCCTGTGTAGCAAGAGACAGGAAAACCATTTATACTTTCATTTTTCTCGTTTCAACAAATAATAACATTGGGTTTAGGAGGAAAACTTTTTTTCTTGACATTCTATACCCAAATACATAGCTTATTTTTGAGAACTATTCTAAACCAGAAATAGGACAAGTTACAAGGCAGGCTTCTAGAACAATGCAAAGCCGTTGAGTGAATGTGTAGGTATTATTTTAGTTGAACACCCCTCAGCCCTTCTGTAATGCTTTCCTATAGCATATTGTGCCTTTGAATAATTTTCTCCCTCAAAACTGTACACTTCTGCTAGTTGCACTTAGAGATTTTGAAGGTACTCAAGGCTTCTTCACAACTGAGAATATGTAGAATGACCAATCTGGACTATTGTATGCATACCCATTTGGACCCTGTGATTGCTTATCAATGTACTTCTGATCTATTTCCAAACAGCCCATGAGGAGATCTGTACAACCAATGAGGGAGTTATGTATCGCATTGGAGATCAGTGGGATAAACAGCATGACATGGGTCACATGATGAGGTGCACGTGTGTTGGGAATGGTCGTGGAGAGTGGACGTGTGTCGCCTACTCCCAGCTCCGAGGTATGCTGGTTTATTGAAAATATCTGAGAGCCATGAGTGCAGAGAGGTGGAGTTGGGGTGAGGAGAGAGTGAGGAGGGAAAGACGGAGGAAGAAAGTATGGAAGTAGGGAAGGAGAGAGAAAAGAAAGAAGGAAAGAGATAAGCAAAGCTGGCACAGCAGTTCTAGGTTTCTGGAACATTCCCAACATGTAACTACTTAGGCTCAACCAAAAAGATAAACTTAAAAGACAAAATCATCAAGATTTGAATCTTGGAGCTTCAGGTTTTGCCCTAGATTCATATCTAGAAAAGATCAGATCATAAAAAATACTTTGCTAATCAAAAAGCAGGTCCTAGGAGATCCAAGTTTAAGACAAATTAGAAATTAAATTCCTGTTTTCCCCTTTGGACTCAGATATATGAAGAATTGTTGGCTTTTTAAAAGCTGTTTTAGTTTCTCCTTTCTTTGGTTTGAAAAATAATATTTAAATAGAACTCTGGGCTAATAAATAATTTATGTGGTTAGTTTGTACACACTGGTCTGCTTCTTTTTGTGGTGTCCTATGGGCAGCATGACTCAGGAGTAATAATTTACATGTGATACTACAGAACAGAACTGAACGGAACCTTAGTAGGTTTTTTTAATTGTGAAAATACTGTATAGAGGAGTTAGAATTACATGGGCAAGATAATGAGTACATTTCTTATCAAGCATTGTTGCCTCCTCCTTTGTTTCCCTCCCTCCCCATCTCTCCCCCCATAGTAGGTTTTATGAGACTAAGGTTCTTATTTTACATATGAAGAAGCAGAGATCCAAAGAGGGAAAGCAATTTTCTCAGGATCCCTTGGAGAGTGAGGAACAAAATTCAAATACTATATGCACATGCTGTTTTATTTCAGTCTAAGTCCACCTATCTTTTTCCCTTCCCCATTTCCCATTCCAATGCAAAGACCACCACACTCTGCTGTGTCTTCCACAAACATGTTGAATCATCTCATTATAACAAAAAGAAATTAAAGGGAAGTTATCAACTAGGCAAGAACTATAAATAACAACTAGGACATGTGTTTATTCAAAATTGGGTTTTCACAGTGAGGTGTATTTTTTTTTTTACCATGTTCTTGAGTTGTATCTACTGATGTTACAAGTCTGTAAGAGAGAAATTTTGAGAAGAGGCAAAAATTGTATTACCAAGTTTAGAAGGGAAACAAAGAGCTTATTCTATCTAAGTCAATAGCAAAGCTGATTTCCTGAAAGGTCTCAGCAATCAAGGAGAAGAATCATCTGTTTTGAAAAACATAATTTTGTTCATCAGTGGAATTTAAAAACTGCTTCACCCCTCCAATTGCTTCCCAAACAGATCAGTGCATTGTTGATGACATCACGTACAATGTGAATGATACATTCCACAAGCGTCATGAAGAGGGTCACATGTTGAACTGCACCTGCTTTGGCCAGGGCCGGGGCAGATGGAAGTGTGATCCCATTGGTAAGTAGCCCCCTCTTGCTGGATGATTTTGGTTGTGGAGAATGCTTAGCCAGTTTCAGATATAGCCAGCAATTAGTTTTTCTGTAGCTGAAGTTGACTAGGACTTTGTTTAATTGTTTGCAGAGAGCTTTGCAAAGTCTTTTCTTTCATTTCAAACTAATGTATCATCTCAATTGTAATCATCTGGCTTTTGCTGGATTGGGTGACGTTTGCAGGTTTTCTTTAATTGAGAGGAGTTAGGGCTTTGGTTCTGCATCATTAAGATAATCAACTTTCCTTTGCTGATTGTAGAATAATAGGGCCAAAGATGAGGCAAGCGAATGCCTCCTCCAAAATACTCTTAATTTAATTTTGGCTGCTCAGTGTGACAAAATTGGGCAGAGTGAAGGTTTGTCCTTAAACAAGCTAGGTTGCTAGCACTCCAAGTATAAGGTAATCCATTAAAAATTCCTTTACTTAAAGAGAGATTGCTCACTGGGAAAATAAACCAAACCAGTTTGTTTGACCTGAGATTGCCAAAGCTGACACAGACCCAAAGGGGTTTTCTTAGAAGCTTCTTAGTAGTTAATCTTAGTTAAAATCTACATGATTGACCTAAGATTAGGTCCTCTAACAATTGGAATTTTTTCCTGGCTATTCAAATAGTATAGCTGATATGGATAAGATAGACTATCTAACTGGGCACCAGTGACTCAGGTGTAAAATCCAAGCTACTTAGGAGATTGAAATCTGGATGGTTTGAAGCCAGCATGGGCAGCAAACTCTGTGATACTCTTATCTCTAATTAAGCATTAAAAAGCTAGAAGTAGAGCTATGGCTCTAGTGATAGAGTGATAGCTAATCTTGAGCAAAAAAGGGGTATTACCCAAGCTCTGAGTTCAAACCTCAGGATGAGCACGCACGAACGCACGCACGCACGCACGCACACACACACACACACACACACACACACACACACACACACACATAGAATATCTATTTAAGAAATTAATATTCATTTCAGCCAGGTGCCTGTGGCTCACACCTAGCTACTCAGGAGGCTGAGATCTGAGGATCGTGGTTTAAAGCCAGACTGAGTAGGAAAGTCTGTTAAATTCTTATCTCCAGATAACCACCAGAAAACTGGAAACGGTGCTGTGGCTCAAGTGGTAGAACACTAGCCTTGAGCTGAAATGCTCAGGGACAGTGGCCAGAGTTCAAGCCACATGACCGCCAAAAACCCAAACCAAAACAAAAAACAATTCACATAATCAGTATTTGTCAAATTTCGTAAAAAACATCTATCAAACTTCGTAAAAAACATCTATCAAACTTCGTAAAAAAAATCTATAAAAATGTTTTTCTGGCATATTTTCTAGACCAGTGTCAGGATTCAGAAACCCGGACATTTTATCAAATCGGAGACTCGTGGGAGAAGTACGTGCATGGCGTCAGATACCAGTGCTATTGCTATGGCCGGGGCATTGGGGAGTGGCATTGCCAGCCTCTGCAGTCCTACCCAGGTGAGCAGCTCTGAGACTGTGCACTGAGGACCAAACGGCACTGTTTAGTGTTTATTAATGGCTTAAGCTCCACGTGGGGACTCTTCTCTTTGCCATTTTTTTTTCCTCCAATGGTTGAACTTTTGACAGAATTTCCCTTTCTCTTCCCATCAAGAAAAAGGTAGGAAATTGTTTACTCACTCACAATTTAGTTGCATATACTGTAGACTATCCCATTAGGTTAAACCACTTGAACTCATTTGATCTCTTGTCTATCTCTATGTGGAAGTAGAAACCTTGGATTGAGGTGTCCTGGGAATAGAGTTAAGTACAGTTCTTAAAAGTAACAGAGAAGAGATGGAATATAATGTGGGTATGTTTTCTTCTACCATGTTCTCTGAGGCCTTCTTGTGTCAAACTGTCCATTTGTTTGATGAGTTCAAATATGGAACAGAGTATTCTGGGTCAAGCATTGAGTAACTTGGTCAACTCTGCCTGTATAGTTCAAACACTTTCAAATGTTTATTACTTTTTTTTTTTCCCAGGTCACAATGACATGATTTCTCTCTGTAGGGTTAGTCATAGATTTTTGGGAAAAGCATGATTTAAAATTTACTGAGGGCTAGGGAAGGTGGCTCAGTGGTAGAGTGCTTGCCTTTCATGCATAAGACCCTGGGTTCCATTCCCCAGCACCACATTAACAGAAAAAGCCGGAAGTGGTGCTGTGGCTCAAGTGGTAGAGTGCTAGCCTCGAGCTGAAGAGCTGAGGGACAGCACCCAGGCCCAGAGTTCACGCTCCATGATCGATCCCCCCTCCAAAAAAAAAAATTAGTGAGTGATTGTAATTAGACGTGTTGAATTGGGGACATCAACTTACCAGACACCAGTTATTTGCATGGCTCCTAGATATTTTGAGTGACAGTCTCCTAACTTTAGACATAAAATATGTCCTCATTCGCAAGCAAAATGATTTGGAGAGTGTCTGAAATTAAGATTAGATTAACTCAGTGCCTCCATAATGTGATGAGAGATGCTCTGTGACAGAGAACAAACTAGAAGGCCAGGCCCTGGGTCCCAGCTCTGAACGTGCCGCCATTGAGATACCAGTCACACCCCACTCTTTCGCTTCCTCATCTATGGAATGGGAAGATGGTGAACAGTCCTGACTTGGCTTTCACATGTTTATGGAAAGACACTTCTTCATTTCGATGGCTACTAGTGTGTTGAAAATTATTTTCTAGTGTGTTAAAAATAGTTGAAAATTATTTCTCTTGATCTTTGCTCTGGTTCTGCCTCTATTTCTCTTTCTGTTTCTGTCTGTGTCTCTCGCTTTCTCTCTCTCTTGCTTGCTCTTTCTGGTGCCAGTTCTTTCTTGGGCTTGAATCTAGGGGCAAGGTGCTGTTTTTAAGTTTTTTTGCTCAAGACTAGTGCTCTACTACTTGAGCCACCACACCTCCACTAAAATCTGTTACTCTACATGAAGATTTACCTGTTGACTTTGTTCCTACTTTCTAAAAAGGGCAACATCAAAAAGTCCCAATGAGCCCTTTTGAAAAGAGGGAGAGTGGGGAGGGGTGCTTGACCTCAGACATGCTGTGTGGTAGTTATCTGCATGTCTGGTTTGTCCAATGTGTGGGCTGTGAGAGTGTGGAAAGAATAAAGAAACAACAGATTACCAATAGATTGTCTCTGAGCCTTGCCCTGTTGGCTCTTCCTACAGAGGGTTTAGAAGAGTTGTCCAAACTAACAGAAGATAAGAGTCTTTGATTTGTCAATAAGCAACTAGGAAAACACAGCTCTCAGCAAATTAAGTAGAGGGAAGAAGGATTGAGTTGGAAAAATGATAAATGTTTAACTTCTCCAGGGTCACCATAACTGGAAATGATTCAGTTTGAGCTTAGTTTAAACAGATTTTGAAAGTGCATAAATTGTATCATGCCTGCTTCTTCTTAACTAGTTTAGTGTTAGTTTGATCATATTGAATAAGAGAAGTAAAGATTTCACAGTGGTAATTGCTCATATAAGACTGAGTGGTTAATGAAATAATTACCCCAAATAACTAGTATCAAAAAGGATCGTCAAACTGAATAGGGAGCCCCACACCTGTAAATCCCAGCACTCAGGAAGTTAAGTCAGAAGTAGCATGAACTTGAGGCCAGCCTGAGATTCTTGGCAAGTTAAAGGCCAGCGTGAGCTACATAGAGAAACTTTGCTTCGAAAAGCAAAAGAAATTAAAGAAGAAGAAAAAATACAATGAAATTATTAGAAATTTAAATAATGTATATATGTGATTTTCAACTTTTCTGTCTTCCAGTTGTATGTAGCATAGAATTACAAAAATGTGCTAAGTGACCACTGCTGTTTAGTGTGGTTCCCTGAGAGATGAACTATGTCCTGTGCCTGAGAGTTAAAAGGTAGAATTCAGTAGTTTTGATCCATTGTAGCAGGAGTTAAAATCACTGCAGAAACCTCACTCTTTCCCTTCCTTCCCCTTCATCATACTCCTGTTAGTGTCCTTGTGGGTATAGTAGCATAAGTAGATAATAAAAGTCATTAGTATTGACTTTCTATTTTATTTATTTATTTGCTTATTTATTTTTGATCATGGGGCTTGAACGCAGGGCCTGGTCACTGTCCCTAAGCTTTTCTGTTCAAGGCTAGAGCTCTGCCACGTGGAGCCACTGCCTCACTTCTGTTTTTCTGGCAGTTAATTGGAGATAAGAGTCTTGCCCGGGGTGGCTTTGAATGGTAATCCTCAGATCTTAGTATCCTGGGTAACTAGGATTGCAGGCATGAGCTACCAGTGCCTGGCTTAATACTGACTTTTAAAGAACTATTTTTTTGTAGACAATTTGCCATCATAAGCTTTTTTCCCTCAGTCATTACTGATACAACAAGTAAAATGTCTTCTGTAACTGAAAAGATTATAGTAGGACTTCTTTAAAGGACCAATATTTAAACAGCCTTATGCGGATTATTGTTAATGACTTAAAGATATGGCAGTCTTATTTTTAACTGAAGTATAAATATTTAAAATTTAAAGGTCTAAAATTTTGCTTAGGTATTTGTCTTTTAAAACTTGCTTGAGGGCCTGGGAAGGTGGCTCAGTGGTAGAGTGCCTTGCATGTATGAGGCCCCAGGTTCGATTCCTCAGCAGCACATAAGCAGAAAAGGCCAAAAGTGGCGCTGTGGCTCAAGTGATAGAACCTTGAGCTGGGGGACGGCACCCAAGCCCAGAGTTCAGGCCCTACCACCTACAAAACAAAACAAAAAACAAAAACTTATTCATGCTTGAATATAAGCTTTCATGAACAAAGAGCCATGGAGTTGACATTCACCAATTGATGAAAAGAAATATCTAGTATTTCTGTGAAGTGTAAGAATGGAAAACAGTATTTTACATGTGAATTTTCATGTGTCTTGGATATGTATGCTTTAATGAAATTAAGATTCCAAGTTGGTCTCCAGATATTTCTAAAGTAGTCTCCAAAGGAGACTACAAATATTTTGAAGTGTTCAGCCAACTTTGAATTATTGTCAGTATAGTAATGAGTCTATTATTTTAGAACTTTCGAGTCTACAGGGATTGACAAGTAATATAATTGTTCTGCTAGAGAAATTTTTGTTTGCAAAGATAATTTAACAGCTGAGATAGATGACAACTAAGTTTGAAAATCAATATACTTGTTCCTAAGAGCCTGCAGAAAACTTAAATGTGTTAAAAGACTAGAGCAAATACCTTATTAAATATGGAAAATATTTTTGAGAAATTCTTGGGAAGGATTATTACAAGGAACCTTGTACAAATGAGTTTTAACTGATATTTTAAAGAATATAATGTTTAGAAGAAAGTTAATTTTCTATTCTATAAACATATTTTCCTAAATGGAGTCTACTGTATTAAGAAATTTTCTTTTCACTTTTTTTAAATGAAAGAACTCAATCTGTACTTGAAATTTTGTTTATTAGTCACACCTATCAAAGTATGAAGCATCGTCATAATGTCATTTCCATTGTTAGCAGCTTTTGAATAAAAAAAGTTGGATCTCTTAAAAATTTTGACCAATGGTTATTAGAGTATTTCTCTTGAATAAAAGTAAATCTAGATTTCTTTTTCCAAACTAAGACTGGTGAGAAATAAAATTGGCTTTTTAATTATTAGCTTTGTCTATTTGTCTAAGATTCTACCCTATTTAGAAATGTGTTTGTTTTACATCATATCATATGGCCTTTGGAATGCGGTTTCCTTCTTAGTAGATGCATTAGTGACGAAAACATCCACACATGAGAATTGGCTGTAACAGAGGCTTAGTGTAATCAGTACATGGAATTTGCACTCTGAATTGCAATATTTGTATGAAGGCACTTTCAAGATTCTTATTTTGAAAATAGAGAAAGCTGGGTGCTAATGGTTCATGTCTGCAATCCTAGCTATTCAGGAGGCTGAGATCTAGGGATAGCGGTTCAAAGCCAGCCCAGACAGGAAAATCCATTAGACTCTTATCTCCAGTACACCACCAGAAAACCGGAAGTGGCACTGTGTGGTAGAGTGCTAGCTTTGAGCTGAAGAGCTAAGGGACAGCACCCAGGCCCAGAGTTCAAGCCCCACGACTGACAAAAAAAAAAGAAAGAAAGAAAAAAAGAAAATAGAGAAGAAAGTATGCCAAGATACTTAATCTTTTTTTTCAAAATGATTTGTTATAAAGCAATTCTACTTATTTCTTGGGAGAAAGACAGTAATTATCAGCTAAAAAAGGATCTGTTGCATTGTTTCCAGTGTTAGCATATAAAGGGCTAAGCTTAATAGTTCCTTTTTGACTTCTGTTGTTATAAAAGCAATGTGTGGAGGGGTTAGTTACATAAGTCAGGTAATGAGTACATTTCTTTTTGGATGTTGTCACTCTTTCCCTTGCTCTCTCCTAGCTATTCCCTCCCATTCCCACCCACAAGTAATATCGTTCATTTTCAGCATAGTGTCCAGTAAGTACCACTGCTGCATTTGTTCACCCCTTGTCCTTCCCACCTAATAGTTTTTATTATACTCATATTTACTGGTAAGCAAACTGTCTTTAATGATGGCCATAGGTGTATATTAACTATAAGTCAATGTGGTGAGTGAATAAAATAGCATGACCAAATCTCCCATTTCCATTTTCAGGTACAAGTGGTCCTGTCCAAGTAATTATCACTGAAACCCCCAGCCAGCCCAACTCTCACCCTATCCAGTGGAATGCACCAGAACCATCTCATATCACTAAGTACATCCTTAGGTGGAGACCTGTAAGTATTCTCCCAGAAACCTGGGGCACTGGGGCTCCTGACCTTACCAAATCTGGATGTGCTGTCCTGTTTGTTTGTTTAGCTTTGATTCCACAGATCTGAGTAGCTATCAGATAGCATTTGTATTTTCTTAGCGACCAATTGACATGTGGTCAGTCACATTAGAATGTAGCTTTGGTTGACTGGTATACTATTTAGAAGACATTAGATCTTTGTTTTAAAAAATGTTAAATGTTTAATGATAGCCCAAACTATTCTTTACTCAATCTTTTATTAAATGTTGCATATAATGCCCTTAAATTGAATTCACATTTGGAAAAATTGATGCACTTTGGATATGGTTTACTTGAAGTCAGGGCCTCTACCCCCACTTGGTTTTTACTCCTCAAGGTTGGCATTTTACCACTTAAGCAACAGCTCCACTTTGAGCTTTTTGCTCGTTAATTTGGGAAAAGAGTCTCATGGACTTTCCTGTCCAGGCTAGCTTCAAACTTTGATCCTCAGATCTCAGCCTCCTGAGTAGCTATTATTATAGGTGTGAGATACTGGCACCTGGCTTTTTTTTTTAATGCCATCTATTTTTTTTGTAATACCATTATATTCCAGAATTTTCTTATGATAACAAACAAAAAACTACTATTGAATAAAAGTCTGTTGCTAGTTTCGAGCTACTCATAATGACTAATTTCAATTTTTTTACAATATAATTTTATTGAAATTTAAATTTAGAGAGCATTTAGGATCATTTTCATTTACCCCAAAATATATAAACAGGCACTTGAACATTGGCATTATTAACAAGCTGGTTGATTGGGTAATTAAATAAAATCACTGAGCACCAAATATGTATTTTGATCCTTGCACTGCTGTAGACTATTTACACTTAAAAGGATTTCATCTTGTTTGAAGTTGAGGTGTTTCTTATCCACTCATTGGATTGCAATGAGCTTTGTGATCCATGACATTAATGAAATTGGGTGGATGTCAAGATAAAAAACTGGAAACAAAAGATTAAATAAACTGAAATGACATTCTTTTCCAGTCTTCCCTAAAGTGGTCTCACCACTCTGCATGGGGCAGTTCTTTTCCAAGTATGAGTGACAAAACCACACCAGTTGAATCTCTCCATGATGGCCCAGGGTCTGAGTCAAAGCATTGTTATGCCTTTGGATGTTTTTGCCAAGCAAGAAATGTGAAATGTATCCCAAGTTAAGAGACAGAATGTATGGCCTTTTTTCACTCTCGAAAGAACCAATCTCTGCTTATTGTAAAAGTGAAAGAATTGGAAGAGATGAAACCTAGGCTCCTGTTATTAAATAATTAAACTACTAAACACTCAGACTAAAGGGAAAGGTATTCAGTGCCTGCAACAGTGTAACTTCCAGCCCGTAACCCTTTGTTTCTCTACTTCTAAAATGAGAGCAAAGCAGTACATCACTTCTGGGTATAGAGGGTTGAGAGATGAAGATTAATGGCAACAAGTAAGAAAAACACCACAACATGTACATGGTAAACGCCAAGGAGGTACGATTCTAATAGTAATCCTTAATAAGTCTCTACTCCAATTCTAGTTCTGTACGACTTTCATCCAGAATGGAGCTGTAAAAGATCCCTCCTTCTTTGAGTGATATACAGAACTCTTTCTGAAGGTCCATCCTTGAAAACACTTGTGTGATAGTTTCTTTTAATCTAAAATTTGCAGAAAACTTCTACGGGCCGTTGGAAGGAAGCCACCATCCCAGGCCACTTAAACTCATACACTATCAAAGGCCTGACCCCAGGTGTGATATACGAGGGGCAGCTCATCAGCATCCAGCAGTATGGCCAGAGAGAGGTGACCCGCTTCGACTTCACCACAAGCCCGAGCACACCTGTCACCAGTACGTGATGTCCCCTAGAATCCTTCTGTGGGCCCCACACATGGGCTCCCTCAGGAAGAGTGTTCCTTCTCAGATCGTATTCTTCCAGGAATGGCACCTGCATTGTCAGATGCATATTCTGCAGGTGAGGATGGTGAATGTTCTAGACAGCTGAATGGTTTGCTTTCTCCCTTTTCTTCTACCCTCTAGGCAACACTGTGACAGGAGAGACAGCACCCTTTTCTCCCGTTGTGGCCACTTCTGAGTCGGTGACTGAAATCACAGCCAGCAGCTTTGTGGTCTCATGGGTCTCTGCTTCGGACACCGTGTCAGGATTCCGAGTGGAGTATGAGCTGAGTGAAAAGGGCGGTGAACCACAGTATCTTGGTGAGCAGAATGTGGGGCTCCTGTGAGTTTGGAGGGGCTCCACTCAGGTTCCAGGCTGGTAGTCTCTGAAGCTAGTCTATAGCTCAAATGGAATGAATAAACTCCCCTCCATGAAAGGAAACTTCCATGACTGAACAAACTCCCCTCCCCTTGTTTCTAAGCTAACTGAGTTTCTTTGAACCCTTTGCACTACTGTTCTGGTCGATGGTGGCACTTTATCCTGCAATTGTCTGGGCACCAGTTCATGAAGCGATTGATTGCCAGTATGAGAATCACAGTGGACAGTGTTAGCTTTTAGGGGGCATGCAGTCCCTTCACGTACGCTTTTCAAATTCTCATGGCTAGTGATTCTTGAAAATTTTGTTGAAATCAACTGTGTGATCAGCAAATGTTCAAGAATCTCTAGCCATGAGAATTCCTTCATGATCAGGAAAATTCCTTCTACATCCTTTCACCCACTTCCTAAATACAGAGAACTAATTTTTTTTAATGATGGAGGAAGGAGTGAAGAAATATGCCATCATGCACTGACAGTCATTGGTTATTTATTAATATACTTCCTTCTAGTCTTTTCCCCCATGAATATATAGTTCTTCCTCTAAGAAGTTTGCTTTGGCCAATTACCTTTCTGTTTTCTTTTGAAGACCTTCCAAGCACAGCCACTTCTGTGAACATTCCTGACCTGCTTCCTGGCCGAAAGTACATTGTCAATGTCTATCAGATATCTGAAGAAGGAAAACAGAGTTTGATCCTGTCAACGTCGCAGACTACAGGTACACACATGTATGGTATTCATCTTTTTGCTGTGAGGCAGGCTTGTTATCCCAGCATGGGAGGTTGAGTGTGGCAGGAAGATTTTGAGTTCAAGGATAGCCTGCTATGTGTATAGCATGACTATCTTAAAACAAAACAACAACAACAAAAAACCCTCATCCACAGGAAGCCTTCTGTAAAGGGTGGGCCTTGCAGCAGCACAGTTGGCCTCATTTTCTCCTTTTCTTCTTTGCTAGCACCTGATGCCCCTCCTGACCCTACCGTGGACCAAGTTGATGACACTTCCATTGTTGTTCGATGGAGCAGACCCCAGGCACCCATCACCGGTCAGCTATGCCTTGCTTTAGTTTTTCTGTTAATTAATCTTTAATGTTAATTGTATAGGTATGGTTTTGATATGGACCACTTTGCAACTCTCAAATTTGTGCATATATGAGTGAATGTGTGTGTGTGTGTGTGTGTGTGTGTTTGTATTCTAGCCCTATTTGATTATGGATCATTCCTCCTCTAAATCCATTTTACTTCCTCTGTCACTCTCTACTCTCCTTCTTCACACACATACACACCATAACATATTCAGCCTAAAGGCCAACCCTATGGCTTATTGAAATGCTTGCTGAAGCAAACATTCCCGGTGTTGCAGAGAGATAATATTCCTGGAAACGTCAGTGCAGGAGCTGAGTTCATTCTTCAGTTTCATCACCATTAACTTTCTCAAAAGACACAGACCGTGCTAGATGGCTATATATTCAGGCTGGCTCATTGTTTTCATCATCTAGACCTCGAAGAAAGGAAATTAGCTTAACATGAATATTTTCACCTAATGACTTCTCTAATTGACATGAAGGATTTTGAGTCTTTAAGGATGGCATTTATTATTAAAAGGTTTGCATGACGTTCTTAGTTTATCTTTGTGCTGAGTCATCATAATCATAAGAAGTGATGATGTTGAAAGAGTCGAGCAAAAGAGACTGTTGCTTAAATTCTTAACTACTCAAATGAGTTTGATCTAAGGTCTAGGTTGGGGAGGACATAGCATTTGTGGAGTTCACAATACAAGTATCTTCCTTTTCCTATGAACCACAGGATACAGAATTGTCTACTCACCATCACTAGAAGGCAGTAGCACAGAACTGAACCTTCCCGAGACTGCCAATTCCGTGACCCTCAGTGACCTGCAGCCTGGTGTGCAGTATAACATCACCATCTATGCTGTGGAAGAAAATCAAGAAAGCACACCTGTTTTCATCCAACAAGAAACTACTGGTGTCCCACGTACAGGTAACTTAAAAAAAAAGCCACTTCCATTGATGTCTTATCTCTTGGGCGAACCCTTTTTAATCTCTTTCCTTGGAGAATAAAGTCTCTTAGACTAGTTCACTCTGTGAGCCTTCCTGGGAAGACCAGAAGTGTGGGAAGAAAAGAGGCTGTCTCAGGCAGGACTGTTTGGTCTCTTGTCTTGGTTCCTGTATCCTAGGAATTCTATATATTTAGTTTTTCTCTAACTTTGGGATAGTGGCTGAAATGTTCCCATTATAAATAAATAAAAGTAAATTATTTAAGACATTGGCCTTTCTGATAAGAAACTGATGTCATCAACTCTTACTTTTGCCCCACAGATGTTTGTTTATTCATTTTATCTTTTGCTGTTAAGTACTATAAAATGATCAGTAAAACAAAATTACCAGTTTTCTGTAGTTCTATTAAAGTTAAGGGTTTTTTTAGTGTTTAATAATTTCTCACTATGAACAGACACTTCTGCAGAAAACTCATGCTTACTTATGAATTTTAGATAAAAGCTTCAAATAGCATTAGATAAACAATATAACTGAATGGGCAGAATTTATGCAGAAAAGTAGGCTTACTGATTCAGGGGTAAAATTTAGGATTGCTCTGGAGTGAGTGGATCTACTGAGCTCGCCTCAAACATCCAGGGAAATGGCTTTGTTTTTTAAACAGTCTTTATTAGGGATTGCGAATGACCAGTTGTCTCTTGCCTGTTAGATAAAGTGTCCCCTCCCAGGGACCTGCAGTTTGTGGAGGTGACAGATGTGAAGGTCACCATCATGTGGACGCCTCCTGAGAGTGCGGTAACTGGCTACCGTGTGGATGTGCTCCCTGTCAACTTGCCTGGGGAGCATGGGCAGAGGCTGCCTGTCAGCAGGAACACGTTCGCAGAGATCTCCGGGCTGACCCCTGGCGTCACTTACTACTTCAAAGTCTTCGCTGTGAACCAAGGGAGAGAAAGCAAGCCTCTGATCGCACAACAGACTACCAGTATGTCTGGTTCCTGCCTGTCTGTCCTTTTGCCCTGATCCCTTCCCCTCCCATCTTCTGCACTGGCATATCTAATCTGTGGTGGAAAGCTGAGGAGAGAATGTGTAGTGGAGATAGAACACATCAAACTTGGAGATAAACCGAGACAAGCTTTGTGGAGGCTTATTGGATAATCCATTTTCCACGCCCGTGTTCCATAGCAATGGTCCTAAGAAAGACAGAATTTGAGAAAAACCTAATTGTTCTTTTGCTGTTGCATCCATGGAAAAGTAATTTAATTGTATTTTTTTTGTAAATGTATATCCAGACAGAATTAAAATGTAAGCTTTTCACAGTTTTATAGTGGAATTTAAAAATAGTCAATACCTGGGCTGGAGGTATAGCTCAGTGGGTAGAATCCTTGCCTAGCATTTATGGGGCCAAGGGTTCAATTCCTAGGACCACAAAAAAACAATTGCTAGCATTTAATATTGTTGGTGAACAGGTCACCAGCTTAGTTCCTTACAAGCATTATTTAGCTTCATATTCAATCTTCATTATAATCTCATAAAGAAAAATCTTTTTACCCTATTAGATCCATTTTAAAAAATGGATGGCATTTAAGGTCTAGCAGCTTGCAAAATCCCAGAGCTAGGAAGTGACAAGAGCTGACTCTAAAGCCTGCCTTTGACTCCACAGCTCTCAGTCATTATACCCCACAGCTTTTTGAAGATTTCTCTACTCAGAAGATGTTTCCAATTCTCATGGGGCCAGATGCTAATGGCTTAGACCTGTAATCCTAACTACTCAAGAGGCTAAAATTTGAGGATTAAAATTTGAGGATTTCAGTTCAAGGGCAGCCCAGGCAAAAAAAAAAGTCTGTGAGATTTTCATCTCCAATTAACCACTGAAAAAGCCAAGAAGTAGAGCTGTGGCTCAGCTTGTAGAACACCAGCCTTGCGCACAAAAGCTTAGGGACAGCACCCAAACCCTGAGTCCCAGGACTGGCCCCCACACACATACATACATACACACACAAAAAAATTCTTAGGGGGAAACTTATGGTTAGAAGAAAACCTACAACTTATGTAATCCTTTCTGATAGCACAAAGCCACTAGTCTTCTACTGTGAATCTGAGATTCTGGTTGTATGTTGTAAATTATTGTCATTACAAACCAGGTGAAAATAACTGATTTTTCCAGCAAGGGGCTAGTCATTCAATAAATGTACAGAATATTGCTTCTGATCCAGCTGGATCTTTCTTTTTGTTCCTGTTCTATTAAGCTTATCATCCATCCCTTAGCCTTTCTGGCTCAGAGCATAGTAAATTGTGGGTTGCATAAGTGTTTATTTTGCTTTAAAAAAACCTCAAAAGGCAAAACTATGAACATTATAATGTAACTATAATTTCTCCGAAAGTGATGGGACCATCTTGCTGGAAAATGAGACTTTTCAAAGGATGACAGTCCAGTGTAAAAGGTCAACCCTTTCTCATCCTTGATACAGTTTGGGCAAAATTCTACCAATTAGGCTCTTACATGCTCAGTTTTTCCAGGGTTTTGACTTTTGCTTTAGTTCTAACCTTGGGAGGAGAAAAAACTTAGGAATATTTAATCAAGTTTTAGGATTTCAATATGATATATAATCTAACTATGTCTTGACATGTTCGATATATATATTTTTTCCCATAGAACTGGATCCTCCCACGAATCTCCAGTTTACCAATGAAACAGATACGACTGTGATGGTGACCTGGACTCCACCTCGGGCCCGGATCGCAGGCTACCGACTGACCGTGGGCCTGACCCGAGGAGGCCAGCCTAAGCAGTACAACGTGGGGCCCTCAGCTTCCAAGTACCCGCTGCGGAATCTGCAGCCTGGCTCTGAATACACCGTCAGCCTAGTAGCTGTGAAAAGCAACCAACAAAGCCCCAAAGCCACTGGTGTCTTTACCACTCGTAAGTTGAAATTCAGTTGTCTTTTCTTATGAGTCTCATAGGTTCTTAACTATATATTCTCTATTCTTCTTCTCTGGTTAAAGAGTTAACTTGAAATTTTTAGTACATCATCCTTTAAAGGAATGCGGATGGAGGTATCCTCCACGGATTGGCTCCTGCTCTGTGAACGGTGTATTCCTGGCCTGCCACTGACGAGGAGCTCTTGCTTGAATGTGTATAACAAAGAATGCTCTTAGATTTGGCTGATCATTTGTTTTAAAGCAAGATTTTCTTGATGAAGGAAGCAGTGTGTTGATCTGCATAAATTAACAACCTTTTTCTACTTTCTTGAGTTAAAACTGTGAGCAAACAGGGTGTTCAGCATGATGCTACTAGAAAACTTGAATTCTGTTGTATAAAATGAATTTACCAAATTTTACTTAAGATATATAGATCTATCTATATCTATATAGAAGATAATTATAACTATTTATATAGATACATTTTATATCTATAAGTATATACCCATACATGTATATATACATGTTGTATCTATGTATCCATTCTCTCATAGGATGCCCATAATAGTTTTTAATCAACAAAAGAAGCCAAGAAATGACTTTTTTTCTTTTTTCAATGTACTGAAGTCTGAACTCAGGGCCTGGGTGCTGTCCTCTAGATTTTTCTCTCAAGTTTTACACTCTACCACTTGAGCTACATTTTCTTTTTTGGCTTTTTGATGGTTAGTTGGAGATAAGAGTTTTACACTTTCCTGCTAGGATTGGCTTCAAACTGTGGTCCTTAGATCTCAGCCTCCTCATGTGTGTATTTTTGCTCAACACTTTAAAGGAAATTGATCTCAAATATCCTACATATCTGCATCACAAACCGACCTCAATCTATCATCTACTTTCCGTTTATTGTCTGAAGAGTAATGGGACTCCTGAGGTATATCTGAACGTTGTTATTTTCAACTTCTTTTTAACTTACAGAGGCACCTAATGTAAGTGCTTGTTTCTCAGCAATTATTGAAACTATACTAGTTTGATATTTCTAAGTACCTCCAATCTTTCTTTTTGACTAAGAAATAAAGTATTAATGTTCAAAACCATTTATATATATATATATATCTTTGGGTATATATATATATTTTTTTGGGGGGGGGTACCAGTGGCTCACACCTGTAATCCTAGCTACTCAGGACGGTGAAGCTGGCCCTGGCAGGAAAGTCTCTGAGACTCTCAATCTCCAATTAACTACCAAAAATGCTGGAAGAAGAGTTGTGGCTCAAGTGGTAGAGCCCTAGCCATGAGTTCAAAGCTCAGGGATAGGGACAGGGCTCAGGTCCTGAATTTAAGCTCCAACACTAGCACCAAAAACAGACCAAAAAAATCAAAACAAGTTTAAAAAACTGGAAATTATTTCCTATACAAAGTTATCTATGTAAGCTTCTCCCTGTAAGAATCCATAATTTCTTTGTTCCTCAACCTAAGTCTTATTTCATGTATTTCTTTTGGTAAGTTGAATGCCTATACAAGAAAAAGCATTTTAATGAAAGGAGTGGGGTCAGTATAGAATATTTTAAGCACTATCAAATATACCTATTGAATATGTTCCTTAATCTTCATGAAATATAATGATATTTGAATTAAAGTATGATAGTAAGAATTGTTAAGTAAATGTCAATTAACATTGTATATTATACATAGTGTGTTTTCAAAAAAAACATTTTCTGGGGGGGATGATTGATTGAGGAACAAATGATAATGCAAACAGCTTAACCAAGCTTAGGTGTAAATAAACTCACATTACCAAGGACTTCTGCAATTTTATCTGAACCTCAAGTACTCCCTACAGCTTTTAGCATCAACAAAGCTTGCATGTTTTTAGAATTACTGTGAGTTTTCTATAACTCTTTTTGCTTTTTACTACCTTACTAAACTGAATTCTGGGAATAATTTTTCTGACTTTTTATAACTGGTGCTAAATCCTTAAGAGCAAGAGAGGGGAGACTAAGCTATTTCTGGGGGAAATTCAGCTTCCTTTATTGATAGGGCATATTTTATTCCTTTAACAACCAAGCTGTTCTTCACTTAAAAAGACTTGCCAGAACCCATAACTCATCCTTACAGTCACATCCTTGTAGGCTTGTGGTTTGATGATTTTTTGGTCATAGACTTCCCAGGCTGAGTATCAACTTAAACATGGGGCAATTTTAGCTGGCTGGCCCAAGCAATAAAAAAAATACCCAGTCTTAAAGCCCAGGTTTGGTGAGGGGAATGCAATTTGTGAAAACGCTGTGGCTTTTACAGATGTTCAGTGAAAGAAATTGACTGAATTGTTTCTGTGGGCTATTAAAAATGGTCACCCAGGGCTGGTCCACGCATTTTGGCAAAGTCAGCAGCTGCCAAGAGGTATACGATTTCATGGGGATGTTCCATGGGTCATCCACCCTCATTTCCCCCAAATGACATCAAAATAGCACCCTTACCATACAGCTGGCTAAACCAGAAGTACTTCAGTTTAGCCATTAGCAATCTCTGCCAAGTAGCCCACACATATATTTGACGTGTTCCCACACCATCTTTTAAAAATGAGAATGAGACATTAAAACCCACAGCCCCCATAAAAGGAAGAATTGCAATGCATATAAATTCCCATAAAGCACAGAAAAATATAATTCACTGGAACTGAGGCCAGAGTCTGAAGACTTTTTTGTTTGTATAACTCTGGAGGATAACTCTACTCTGTCTTGCAAGGCAACCATAATTTAGTGTAAGGATATTCAGTTGGATTTTGCTAGTGGGAACAGAAAGAAGAGGTTTTCTACCAGGAAGTAAAGAGAAATAGAATTTTGTTGTGGTTATTGTTGTTGTTTGTGGGGCTTGAACTCTGGGCCTGGGCGCTGTCCCTCAGCTCTTTAGCTCAAGGCTAGCATTCTACCACTTGAGCCACAGTGCCACTTCTGCTTTTCTGGTGGTTTATTGGAGATAAGAGTCTTTCCTGCCCAGGCTGGCTTTGAACCATGATCCTTAGATCTCAGCCTCCTGAGTAGCTAGGATTACAAGAGTGAGCCACTGGCACCCAGTGAGAAAGGGGTTTTAAATCAGGGCTCTTAAGGCACTTGAAACCCTGGAGCTTGAGTTGCCTATCCTAGTTATCTTGGCTTCTGAGGCTTTACCTTTCTAAACTTAAAAGATATACAGGGCTGTTGGAAATGTTCATCTTAACTCTGTACACATTCTTTTTTCCCTTAGCTTTCTTTTCTCTTCCTTTTTTCTTTTTAGTAGTAATTTCATAATAATATAATAATAATAATAGAAAAGAGGCTGGGAGCTGGTGTCTTATACCTATAATCTTAGCTACTCAGGAGTCTGAGAATATGGCTTAAGCCAGCCCAAGCAGCAAAGTTCCAAAAAAATTGCCCCCCCCCAAAAAAAAGTAGGGAGTGGTAGAGTGCTAGCCTTGAGCAAAAAGCTCAAGGACAACACTCAGGCCCTGGGTTCAAGCCCTGGGACTGGCACAATAAATATGTTAATAAATACAGATAATAGAAAAAACTTTGGGTTGAAATCTTCAGTGCTAGTTGTAAAATACTAAATCTCTGCAGTCTTATTCTGAATGAGCAATCTCATGGTGGAGGAATGAATCTTTAGAATATGAAGAATACCCACAGTTTCAGATTTACTCTTATGGCAACCACACATATGTGGCCATAATTATGGAATAATGCAACATAAAACTGATTTAGATTAATCTCTAATCTTGCCATTGCTCTTAATGAGACTAACAGTCAAAGTGACCATCAGTTTGTGGTGTCCAGTTGTACAATTGATAAAGAATTTGAAGCTGATGACATAAGAAAATTAATTGTCCTTAAACATAATTCCCACCAATGAAGAAAAGATGCAGCTTATGGGATGGAAGGAGTTGGAAATTCCTGTCTTTGAGATGATCGAACACATCATTTTATTCAAGGGCGATTCACAGATCAGAGTTGGCATCATCTGTCATTTTGTCAGAAATACAAACTCCTTAGCACTGCATTGGACCTGCATAATTAGCATTTGCCCTTTCACTGGGTCTCAGATGATTTGTGTAGTACATTCGTGTCTGAACAATACTATTCTCCCACTGCCCAGTCAGTGAAGGAACCCATGCTACATTTGTAGTCAGTGATTGAACCTATGGTCCATTCTCCATTTGCCTATTGGTTAAATTAAGGTTCTCGGTATTCATATATATACACACACACACACACACACACACACACACACACAATATATTTTTAAAAGCTTATTTGTACCTTCTCTGAAACTGTCTATGATTCCAAGATCTGAGCACATACATTTGTGCATTGGTTCATTTTGCAGTGCAGCCTGTGTCTTCCATTCCGCCTTACAACACAGAGGTGACTGAGACCACCATTGTCATCACATGGACGCCTGCTCCAAGAATTGGTTTTAAGGTAATTGTAGCTGTTCCCAGTCTATTGTGATGCATCCATCCCTAAGGTGCTCTATTGTTTCTGCATGTAGTAGGAATAGGATGTTCAGGAGGCCTGGGTTTTGCTGTTACCATTCATACCTCTAGGACCCTGTTACCAGCCATAGCAATACTTCTGCCTTTCCCACTTCACTGAATTGCTGTAAGGATGCGCTGAAGTTTTTTCTTTTGCAAAGAAGAAAACATTAGCCTGGAAATATTTGTCATTGTTGTTTTGTTTCTTCTATTTTCCCCAGGGAAATGTACTTTTAGATCGTTATCAGGCAACTCCAATTGCTGTTGCTCTAAAAGGGTGTCAAGAAATTTATGAAAATCAATTTAGGGAGACACTTATTCAGGGATGCTTTAAAAAATCGAATTTTTATCCAAACAGTTTCAGCTTATTTAAAGCCCTGTGGGTGAATCTCTTAATAAAAGTTAAAATTGAGGTTTTCCTTTATAGATAACTGGAGTCATGTTCTTTAGAGTAATGGTATTAGCAAAGTGATGAGCACAGATGAATATGTTTTATTAGAGTTAGGAGACAGAAATATTATGACTGGAAATCAAAACTAAAGTTCTGTTTCATTAAAATAAGTAAATAAAAGACTAAAGGTCACTTCTTTTAGGATGTAAATGGCCACATTGATGACTATGCTACTTAAATACAGAGAACCCTTTTTGAAGATTGACAATATATTTTTCAAATTTCTCTCTTAATAGTGGCATTTGGATTTTCAGAAGACAGCATATGAAGGATCTCTCTAAAGTTGACACCATTTAATAACACAGTGTTACCTAGGCTTTTGAAGTAGAATCTTAAAAGGATTTAAAACTGTGAGCACATTCATTTTAGTTCTTTTGTAAGATACAATTATGTAGTTGAAGATTTGAACATAGTTCTTCAAGAGGAGTGACTTTTTTTTTCCAGTACAAATTGCCACAGAAATTGATTCATTTAAGTGATAAGTAAAATAGTGAATTGAATTTGAATAAGTCATTAAAGAGAGCAGGTAGAAATTTCTATCATAGAATACATAAATGAATATGTAATGACATTTCTCTGGAAACTTCCATTATAAGGTGCCTTAATGTTCTTTGGGAAACACTTCTCTTACCAACACGGGACCCCCAGCTAAATCATAATATAGAGCTGAAGCACGTCCCCGACTCATCTCTTGACAAAGGTGCATTGTGCTTTTCTAAGGAGATTGCATTATATAATCTAACCACAACTTCTCAGAGACGCAACTGTGGAAATATTTGTCCTTTGTGTTGATTGTAATTACCTTTGTCCTTTCTAGCTGGGTGTACGCCCAAGCCAAGGAGGGGAAGCACCCCGAGAGGTAACTTCAGAAACAGGAAGCGTCATGGTATCTGGGTTGACTCCAGGTGTGGAATACACTTATACCGTCCAAGTCCTAAGAGACGGGCAGGAACGGAACATCCCGCCAATTGTGAACACAGTAGTGACACGTAAGAAGAGTTCTTGTGCTTTTTAAAACAATTTCCTTTCATTTTAGTTTTTAAAACATTTGCTTTTGGAAACTAGCTAACATCAGTACCACTGCTCACTCCTGAGGATGGTACCAGAGGAAAAGAGTCATTTCCAACTTCAGAGTAGCAGTTTCAACTCATGTTATGAGTTCCATGGCCCTAAGAATACACTTTCCAGGTCAAGAATCTTTTTGAATTGGCAGTATGGATGGAATTTCAGTAGTATCTCAAAATCATTAATCCTGAAAAACTTTCTGTGCAAAGAGGACTACTGTCTACTATGTTTTTATGGTATATTCTTGGAATTTTCACTGGAGAAAGGAGGAAGGGAAGAAAGAGGGAGGGAAGGAAAGGAAAAGAAAAGAAAAGGAAACATTGTAGAGGCTCAGGATTTTATGTTAGGTTTAACTTGTATTTTAAATTTTTCTTTCTGCTTAGCATTGTCTCCTCCAACAAACTTGCACTTGGAGACACACCCGGACACTGGCGTGCTTGTAGTCTCCTGGGAGAGAAGCACTACACCAGGTAAGCTAGAGATAGCTCCAAGAGCCAACTCAATGCAAGCACAACTCCCATGAAAACGATTCCTGACACAATGTTCATTTCAAAGAAGGATAAGAAACAAAGCAAGGGTCAAAGTACTTAGCTGTCCCTAAGTAACATAAGAGTACATGAGTATGCAGTACTTTATGCAGGGATATATATGTTCTATTGTTTGGTTTACGTTTTTGTTGTTTCTGCAGTACTGGAGTTTGACATTGAGTCTTATGCTGGCTAGACAAGCATTCTCCCACTTGGGCTATGTTCTTTTTACTTTTAGTGGGTTTTGTTCTTGGTTGTTCGTTTTTTGTTGTTTGTTTTTTGAGACAGACACATAATTTTGTTCAGCTTCAGACCACAGTCTCATAATCTTCACCTCCAGAGTAGTTGGAAGAGTAAACCATCATACCCAGCCCCACCAAACATGTTTTTTCAATGCATGTTTACTTAAGTCATAAGAATGACAGCAATCACCTGCTAGACTGTGGGGAAAAGTGCAGGTCTTTAGACAGCTTTCTGAGAGCTAGGTAAAAGGATTTGGAAAGATGTTTTAATTTTCTGTGCATTAAAAATTGCCAAACAAAAGGCTGAAACCACCTACGATGTAATTTCCTTTTTGTGAGTAATCATGAATTCTAGCTTTATTCAATGAAGGGTTACTATTACAAGCTTCTCTTTGATTCCAGGACCCCCACTGGGTACCATAGTCTGAAAATGCCCAAATCCTTTATATAAAGTGGTCTTGAATAAGCTTACACATCTCCCATAAACCATCCATCACGTCTACATTACTTATAGTGCCTATCACAATGTAAATAGTTGTTGTTTTGGATTATTTAGGGGGAATAATGACCAAAAAAAAGCCTGTATGTGTTCAGTAAAGAGTTTTTGTTTCTGCTTTTTAAAAAGTAGTTTTTAATCTGTGTTGATTGAGACCACAGATTTGTAACCCATGAACACAGAGAGTCAATGTTTTTTGTTTTGAGTTGCATTATAAAAATAAAAGGATGAGAGGCTGGGAAGGTGGCTCAGCAGTAGAGTGCTTACCTCCCATGCATGAGGCCCTGGGTTCCATTACTCAGCATCACATAAACAGAAAAGGCCGGAAGTGGCACTGTGGCTGAAGTGGTAGAGTGCTAGCCTTGAGCTGAAGAGCTCAGAGACAGCACCCAGGCCTAGAGTTCTAGCCCCACGACTGACTGAAAAAAAATTCTAAGGATGATAAAAGAAGGCATAATTCAAAATAGCTTACTAACTCATAGTCACATATTTTAAGTGCTGCAGAAGTTGGAATTTTAATTTGTTGTTGTTACTCCTGGGGCTTGATATCAGGGCCTGAGCACAGTCCCTGAGCTTTTGTGCTCAAGGCTAGTGCTCTATCACCTTGAGTGGCAGTGCCCCTTCTGGTTTTCTGGGGGTTAATTGGAGACAAGAATCTTACAGACTTTTCTTAGATCTCAGCCTCCTGTAGTAGCTATGATTTACAGGTATGAGCCACAGGCTCCTGGCTGAACTATAACTTTTTAGGCTACTTCTTATACCCAATATCACACATTTGGGATTTTATTTATTTCTTTCTGTTGTGCCAGTAGTGGGTCTTGAACTCAGGGTCTCACAATCTCAGTTGGCCAAGGCTGGCACTCCACCACTTGAGCCACACCTTTACATCTGGCTTTTTTGGAGATCACAGAGTCTCATGGACTTTTCTGCCTGGGATGGCTTTACACTGTGTTCCTCAGATCTCAGCTTCCTGAGTAACTAGGAATGTAGGCATGAGCTACCAGCACCATGCTGGAACTTCATTTTTATTATTTTTGTGTTTTTCCTTGAATACTCAGTCTTGAATATTCAAGACTGAGAAAGTTAGTGAAGGAGTTTCAGGACCATTTTTAAAAGTTCAAAAGTGAACCTGCTATTTATACATATTTAAAATGTATAAATCATAAAATACGTAAAAGATACAGCAATGTTCAAGTAGCATGACATTCCAGAGTAATAACCATAACAACATTACATCACAAAACATAAAATCTGTTTAATCCAAAGCGTAAACTGTTTTTTTTTTGCCAGTCCTGGGGCTTGAACTCAGGACCTGGGCACTGTCCCTGAGCTTCTTTTGCTCAAGGTTAGCACTCTACCACTTGAGCCACAGCACACTTCCAGTGTTTTATGTTTAGGTGGTCCTAAAGAATTGAACCTGGGGCTTCATGCATGCTAGGCAAGCACTCTACCACTAAGCTACATTCCTAGCCCAAACTCTTTAAATAAACTATGTTATTTAACATAAGGGTATTATTTAATTTTGAGTCTATTACAGAAAGAGCTGTAGATATTTCTTAATATTTCTTATTGAGAACATTCTAAATTAAACCAAGCAGTAGTTTCAAATAGTGTTGATTACATCCTTATGTGCTATACCTAATTGGACAGACATATTGCTTAACTATGTCTAACTTTACTGTTATTTTGTTGAAATAATTTCTCAGCCTTTGTTTGATCTTCAGCTACAGCAATTATCTTTAAGTCATGAATTACACAATTACACAAAGTAAAAGCTTAAAATATCAGTTTTAATTTTCCTCTGAAGTAGATGTTCACAGTATATTTTCACATCTACTATGGAACTAAAAATTTTCCAGTCTTCAAAGTGTTTTCATTTTTTCCCTGTAGAAGGATAAAATGTACAGACTGAGACATCTTCAGTAATCACTTCTTCCCCTCCTTTTTTGTCTTTTTTAAGTGTTTTTGCTTCTTTGTGCTGGTCCTGGGGCTTGAACTCAGGGCCTGGACACTGTCTCTGAACTTTTGTACTCAAAGCTAGTACTCTACTACTTAGACAAAGCTCCACTTCCAGCTTTTTGCTAGTTAATAGGAGATCAAAGTCTTAAGGACTTTCTTGTCCAGGCTGGTTTGAAATGTGATCCTCAGATCTCAGCCTCCTGAGAAGCTAGGATTACAGGCTTGATCGGTGCCTGGCTTGTCTTTCTTTTTGGAAAATAGCACTCGCATTATTAATGTATTACTACTGTTATAATTGACATATAATACATTTGTATGTATTTATGTCCATCTGTATGTATGTAAGATCATCAAATGGGCATTAAACATAAGACCAGGTTACATTTCCATCTTCTCAATGATTTATCATGTTCGAAATATGTAAAAGTACATAGACTACAATCACCCTACTATAATGTACAACACTGGACTTTATTCCTCCCACTTACTTGTATTGAGGGACCGTCATCTAACATTTTCTATTTATCACCTTCTTTCTCCTTCCCAGTCTGTAGTGTCCACTACTCTCTTCTGTGAGATCAACTGTTTCATGAATGAGTGACAACATACAGTATTTATCTTTCTATAACAGGCTTATTTGTCTAAACAAGTTGTCTTAAGATTTTCTCAACTCTCAAGATCTGAACCTCAAGGGATTTGTGTGAGAATTGATTGACAGAACATTCTCCATAAATGTTCTTTTTCCTATTCCCCTGTGGTCCACCATCTTGAGTCTAGTTCAGTGTACTCTGAATCATAAATGCTCTATTTAGTAACTCCTCCCTCTGCTTTCTGCAGATATTACTGGCTATAGAATCACCACAACTCCAACAGATGGGCAGCAGGGAACTTCTTTGGAAGAAGTGGTTCATGCTGATCAGAGTTCCTGCACTTTTGAAAACCTGAATCCTGGCTTGGAATACAATGTCAGTGTTTATACTGTCAAAGATGACAAGGAAAGTGTTCCTATCTCTGATACCATCATCCCAGGTAATAGAAAAATAAGCTGTTATCCTCCAAGTGGCAGTTTCAATAGGAGTAGGGATTAGCATCTTAATCCCCAGGCAGTTAAATGGGTCAAAGATATTTGGGATTTAATTCCAACCTACCAACTATACTCTGTGAAACCACAAAGTCAAAGCAACTGTTTGGACAAAGGCTTGCTGTTAACACTGCTTTCCTGTCTGCTTCACTGGGATGCTTTTTGTTGCCATGGGTACATGATGAAGTGGCAGCCACAGCATTAACTCTGTACTGTTTGCTCTCGTGGAAATATTACTAAACAATGTCATGTGTCTGTACTCAGTGCTGGCAGGCTGAAAGTAATGTGGTAAATGCATCCCAATGGTACATTTGTGCCTGACTTTTACACTCCCTATCAATTTCAATGGTGATATGTAAAATAGTTTGTGTTTCCATATATAGACATTGAAATAGCACTTGGTTGACAGTATCCAATTCTTTATCTTGCAGCTTCAAATTTATTTTCATCTTAAAATCAGAAGGGAAAATCAAAGACAGAAAGAAAGAAGTAAAGTCCTTGCCTTTGGGGTATTCTTTCTTAAGAACTGAGAGGCAATATTGAAGAGGCCCATATAAGGACAGATTTCTCATTTGTCCAGTCTAAATGCACTGGATGTGTGTTTTCCCATTTATATCACTTGGTTTGTGTCTACTATGCTAATTAAATAACTGATTTTGAGTTTAAAATGTTAGCAAGGGCCTTTAACTCAGGACTCTTTGGCCCTGGCCTGTATGTGCTTTTTTTTTTTTTTTTTTTGTGGGTCATGGGGCCTGGGCCTGGGCACTGTCCCTCAGCTCTTCAGCTCTAGATGAGCACTCTACCTCTTGAGCTACAGCACCACTTCTGGTTTTCTGGATAAGAGTCTCATGGACTTTCTTGCCCAGGCTGGCTTTGAACCACAATCTTCAGCTCTCAGCCCCCTGAGTAGCTAGGATTACAGGTGTGAGCCACCAGCACCTGGTTTGTATGTGCTTTTGAATGGCACATTTCACTCTATACATTCATAATGCATTAGCATGATGGCCATAATATTTTGAGTTTTGTATGGTGGACAAACAATTCTTTAGCCATTTTTTTTAAAAAAAAACCTTCCTCATGCAAGCTTTTATTTTCCTATTAAAACAGTTGGGGATATATATATATATTTTTATAACAAACTGATACTTACTTTAGATATTATATGTCTAGGTTCTTAGAATGTTTTTAATATATGAAACAGGCCTATGATTTTTTGGAACTTGGAACATTTCAAAACTTGGAACATTTTAAAATGCAAGCAAACTGCTAAAAGAATATTGTAATTTGCTTTATTCTCCCAGGGAAGCAAATGATTCATGATTCTTAGGAAGTCTTTTCAGATAATTTGAAACAAATTGCATATTACCATCATTGCTTTACCATTCCTTCAATTTTACCACTGATGACCTGATGAACACTGCTTTATTTTTTTCCTCTTTTTTTTTTTTTGCTTCTATTTTCCTTCTGCCCTTTTCTTTGCTTTGTAACTTAATAGAGGTACCCCAACTCACTGACCTAAGCTTTGTTGATATAACCGATTCAAGCATCGGCCTGAGGTGGACCCCGCTAAACTCTTCCACCATTATTGGGTACCGCATCACAGTAGTTGCGGCAGGAGAAGGTATCCCTATTTTTGAAGATTTTGTGGACTCCTCAGTAGGATACTACACAGTTACAGGGCTGGAGCCGGGCATTGACTATGACATCAGCGTTATCACTCTCATTAATGGCGGAGAGAGTGCCCCTACTACACTGACACAGCAAACGGGTGAATTTTGAAAACTTCTGTTTGAGACACGGATAGTGTTGCATGCTGTCACCAGTCACTGTGGTTAAATCTGGAAGTTTCCAGGGAGAAGCCAGTGTTGGACCATATAGATTAAGATGGGATGGGTTGGGAGATAAGAAGTCTAGTACATGCACTAATCTACTTGGATGAAGACCTATGTAAGTCGCTTTCCATACACTTTACCACATACAGAAGTCCCGACACCCTTATCTATTAATTTCAAAGTAGCATAATAACTTAATCAAATTTGCAGACCTGGAGGGCTATTTTTTGTTAAAAAATATCAAACATGAATACCACATGGTATGATAAGCACTAGTTAATACTAAGAGATAAACTTCCAGAATATATTACGCCCTTTTTTTCTATCCTCTGATGAGCTTTATACCATGTTCCTTGTGATTAAGAACACATCAAAATTTAGGGTAGATTGCAAGGAGGTGGCCCCAGGTAGGAAAGAAAAATAAGCTTGGTAGGATTCTCGATTTTGTTGTTATCACAAGGCAAAGAACTCCTCTTTAACCACAGTCTGGGTACCAGCATGCAACATTTTAGAGGTTCTCTGCCCTGCATGGTAAGACACATATTGAGAACCAATATGCATGAACCCCTCCTACTTGTAAGTAGAATTTATTGAATGAGATTGTAGCTGTACTGGTAGTTTGTAGACATCTCACATCATGGAGAAAACTTAGAAACTTCCTCTTATTTTTTTGTCTGTGTGCATGTGTTTCCTTGGAAAGTACTGCTGTTTCCTTTCTGCTGTGTGGCAACTTAAGCCTCTTCAGCCTGCGGTAAAATTATCTTCAGTGGTATGATTTATGAACTTCGAATCAACCTATTTGAAATTACTCCGTCAAATACCTTGATGATGGCAGAAAGGTTAAAGGGGCCTAACAGTACTATGTGTCATAACACTATGAATTAGATTTAGAATTAGATTTAGATTAGATGAATTGCATGATTGTGACTGTTTCCTTTGTGCATGAAGTATTGGTCTTACCTTTCCAGCTATTTTTGTTCACTTTTGCTTTAAAGTTGTATTAATATCTTCTTATTTGAATCCAGCGGTCCCTCCTCCCACTGACCTGAGATTCACCAATATCGGCTCAGACACTATGCGTGTCACATGGGCTCCACCTCCATCCATTGAACTGACTAACCTCTTGGTACGCTACTCACCCGTGAAGAATGAAGAAGATGTGGCAGAGCTGTCCATTTCTCCGTTAGACAATGCAGTGGTCTTAACAAGTAAGCAGTCAAATATATTTGGTCACTAAGTCCTAACTTTCAGCATAGTGAATTCTGGAGTTCTTGAATAGAAGCAATTAAGAGGACAAGTTGCCAAAGAGCTGTGAACTAATCTCCAATTTTAATAGGCAACTCTGTACATTCTAAAGGATCTGATGTTTATTGTTTTCTTGATAACACGACTTCTTAAAAAAAAACATCTTGGACAACTTCATATTCTACTTCCAAATCAGCACATATCAAGAGTCTTGATATATAACTGAATCTAAATGTTCAGAGAGGACAAGTGAGAGTTGCAAATATGTGTTATATCTATTTTCTTGACTTTTCTCAGTGTCAGCAGGTAATCTATTTAGTATTTGAAAATTTAGGAATTGATTGTCTGGGATACAGCAGGATACTATGAAGTCAGAAGCTTAATTTCTACAGAAAAAAATATCTGTTTGCAGTATTTCTCAGAAGACGGTGAGGACTTGGGAAATGACTGACGCTAAATAAACAACGATTTGTGCAAGTTGTCTTTTTCTGGTTCCTATCATTTTGGAATGAGGCAGTTTTTCTTTTATTAAAAAGAGGAGGTTGCAACATGGTGCTGTTTTACATAAATATTTCTTCTGACTATTTCACATTATAGTAAAATGTGTAAGTACAACAAAAGAGTCCATGTAGGAAAAAATACCTTAAGATAGATTCCCAAAGAGTAGTTTGAAAACATCCCTTCTTTCTCAAGTATATTTTAGAAACTGAAGCACCAAGACAGCTGAGCTAAACAATGGTCTTGCCTTCCCACTTTGTGGCTGAGTGCTAGAGTGCCTTTATATCTGCATGATTGAGTCCATAGTGGCTATTTCTATTTTAGAACATTCTGGAATCAATAGTAACTGTATAATCCTCTGCTTCCAGTTGGCTGTAGCCTACCCAACACCTGTCATGTGTCAATCATATGTTCAGAGAACTTGGGTCCTAGTGCTATGACATCAAGGTAGCAATCTTCCCCTTACTAAAGTCACTACTATCCCATTTTATAGAAGCATCTGAAGCCTCTCATTCCCTCTTAGTCTGGAGCTTGTCCATACATTGCAGGAGCATCTTTAGAAAAGTTGATGGGTAGAGGAATGAGGGTTTTAGTGAGCAGGAGTGTAATGATTGGAAACAATTATTAAAAAAAGAATGCTCAGCGATGTATATTAAATTTTTAGAAAATATTCTTCTCTTATTTGAATATGACAGAACTCATTCTTTCCCTTGGGAACGGGGCTTTTTGTGTGTGTGTGTGTGAAGGTTAATTGTTAAGACCATGGACCTAGACCTGAATCAGCTCCTATATATGAGCAAGTAAATAAAAGAAAATAACTTCAGTATACCTCAGTTTTCTCCTGAGCAATGGAGATAACTGTGATAAACTAAATGTTCAGAAGTAAAGGTCCTGTTGAATATATTGATTGTTCATTATCTTGAATGCCTTAATGGTTCTACAAGTTCTTCATGACAAAGGGTATACATGTACACTTCAAATAAATGCAATATATTGTTGATAATAAAGCTGCTATAATGAATAGAAAACTAACTCATCAGGTTGTTGTGAGGAAGAAATGATAATGCATTGTGTCAAAATAAACAACAGATACACCATCAAGTGGTAAGAGAAATATTAGCTATATGTCCGTATGTAAATCTGGTTGAGTCACATTCAAAGAACTGGAACTGAGGGCAGGGATACAAGAGATTTTAGGACACAGGGAATCTTCTGTATTATCCAATTATAGGCCTTTTCCCCAGGTAGCAATTAGGTGTAATTAGACTAAGTGAGATTTCTAAATATCAGATAGCTCACGAGTTCAAATAGTTCGAGGAATGCTTTGTTTTCTCATGCTTTCAAGCACAATTTTAAATTAAGCCTCACTTGTCTTTTCAGATCTCCTGCCTGGAACTGAATATTTAGTCAGTGTCTCCAGTGTCTATGAACAACATGAGAGCGTCCCTCTTAGAGGAAGAGAGAAAACACGTGAGTCATGTGACCATATGCTTATCACATAGTTCTCACTTGCCAGTTTTAATAACAAAATGTGGTATTATATCTTTTTTTTTTTTTTTGGTTGGTTATGGGGTCTGAACTCTGGGCCTGGGCGCTGTCCCTCAGCTCTTCAGCTTAAGGCTAGCGCTCTACCACTTGAGCCACAGTGCCACTTCCGGCTTTTTTCTTTTTTTGCTTATGTGGTGCTGAGGAATCGAGCCCAGGGCCTCATGCATGCAAGGCAAGTGCTCTACCACTGAGCCACCTTCCCAGCCCCATGAGGTATTATTTCTAAAGTACATCTCCATCTTTTGCAATGGTGGTCTATGCATCATTGTTCTTAATTTCTATCACTAATCTTGAAAATTAAGAGACACCTTATCAATAATTCATAATTACTAATTATTAGTTAGCATTGCAGTCACTTCAGTTTCTATTTCCTACTTCCACATAGAAATGAAATAAGTCCAGAAACTTTGTTGGTTTTTCTTTAAAAATATTGGGCCACTGGTGGTTTGTGCCTATAATCCTAGCTATGTAGGAGGCTGAGATCTGAGGATCCTGGTTCAAAGTCAGCCCAGGCAGGAAGGCCCATGAGACTCTTACCTCTAAGTAACTACCAAAAAAAACCCAAAAATGGAGCTGTGGCTCAAGTGGTAGAGTGTTCTCCTTGAGCACAAAAGTTCAAGGACACTGCCTTCACCTTGAGTTCAGCCCCCTAGAATGGACCCCCCCAAAACAAAACAAACAACAACAACAAAGCACTTCTTATGATATCTTTTATTTCGTTAGGCAGTTTGGCATAATAGCTGACCTAAAACACTGTCATTGACTTCTAAGTATATTTCCTCCTTTACTAAGCCAATAAATTTGTGTATATTTTCTCCTTGGCAACACATTTTCTTACAAGAAAGGGGTTGAATAGAATCCCTTAAATATTATTTCTCTTCTTAACTATGAGTACTGTTTACCATTTTTCCCTTAAAAAAAAAATTCAACAGCCAGTCACCAGTGGCTCATGCCTCTGATTATAGCTACTCATAAGGCTGAGATTGTGGTTCAAAGCCAGCCTGGGCAAGTTCATGAGACTTTTATTTCAAATAACCACTACAAAGCTGTGAGTGGAGCTGTGGCTCAAGTGGTAGAGATCCAACCTTGAGTGAAAAACCTCGGGCAGACCCTGAGTTCAAGCCAACACAAAGGAAAAAATAAAAACGTATTCATTGGTTTATTTATGGTCCAATTGATTCCAAAAAGTAGTTAGGACTTTTCAGTCATATTTGAATATATTACTGAATAGAATTAGCAAATGTTGTATATAATACAAACAAAAAATACACTGGAAGTCCCAGAGAGGTTATTAAGTAAGTTGAATAGGAGATAAACACTGAATTCTTGGTTTTCTTTGTTAGTCGTAGGGCTTGAACTTGGGGCCTAGGTGCTGTCCCTGAGCTCTTATGCTCAATGCTAATGCTCTACCACTTTGAGGCAAAGTGCTAGCACTTTCCTGCCTGGGGTGGCTTTGAACCATGATCCTCAGATCTCAGTCTCTTGAGTAGTTAAGATTACAGGCATGAACCACTGGTGCCAGCTTCTTCTTATTTTTTTTTTAATGTACTACATTTTCACTCTAATTTGTCTAGTAGATTGTCTTTAGTTGGAAAGTTTTGTGTCTACCATTATTGTCATTCTCTTGACATATGTATCCTTTCTTGAGTATGGAAAGCTTCTTGAACATGAGCACGGGCAAGTCTTGCTTTGCTTTGAGTGACAAATTTGTAGGATAAAAATACTCCTTGAATGCTGAAGCACTTGAAAGTAGTAGCTCTTGAAATATTTTTGCATACCTGCTTTCAAGGATGACATGGAAGCTTATCATGACACACAGGTGATTTAGCAAGAAGAAAAGCATTAATGAATGTGTGAGTTGACATATTTTGAGTTTATGATTTTGCAATTCCGACGTGGTCAGTAGTGGATCACTGCATTGCTTGGTATGTTACTTCCTCTTACCTATCTAAGCTGGTGTCTCACTGTTTTTTTCTTTCTTTCTTTCTATCTTCATCCTCCCCTGGCTGGGAAAACAGGTCTTGATTCCCCAACTGGCATTGACTTTTCCGAGATCACTACCAACTCTTTCACAGTGCACTGGATTGCTCCTCGAGCTCCCATCACTGGTTACAAGATTCGCCACCATCCTGAACACTTTAGTGGGAGACCTCGAGAAGATAGAGTGCCCCCCAACCGCAATTCCATCACCCTCAGCAACCTCATTCCAGGCACGGAGTATGTGGTCAGCATTGTTGCTCTTTATGGCCGAGAGGAAAGCCAACCCTTAGTTGGCCAACAACCAACAGGTAACTTCTTTTTTGTCCACAAAGAAATTCAGAAGACTTGCCAAATCTGTTGGTATCTAGGGAATAAATAGCTCCATGTTGTCTGAATTATCAACTCCCCAAAACAGACCACCATTACAGACATAAAATGAGAAGGGATGGAGTGCTTGGCACTGCTCTAAAAGTTAAAATACAATCTTAGTGTAATAATGACAGTATTCTTGGGAGATAGATGCTGAAGTTCTTTTTTTGAGATGCTGAAGTTCTTTGGGGGAGAAGTAGCATTATGATAACCTATACCATAAATGGTTGAGAGAGAGAGAGCAAGACAGATGGGGTGGGAGAAAGGGAGTGTATATGTGGCAAATGTTTCCAAATAGCACAAACCTTAGTTTTATGTCTATGTGTGTGTGGATATGTGTGTGTGTACATGTGCATGTGCACAAGTGCCAGCCCTGGGGCTTGAACTCAGGACCTAGGCATTGTCCTTGAGCTTCTGTGCTCAAAGCAAGTGCTCTACCACTTGAGCCACAGCTCCACTCTGACTTTTTTGTGGCTAATTGGAGATAAAGAGACTCATAGACTTTTCTGTCTGTGCTGGCTTCAAAATGCCATCCTCAGATCTCAGGCTCCTAAAGTAGCTAAGATTATAGGGATAAGCTGTGGGTGCCTGGCCAGTTTCTATTGTTTTGTAAACTAATATTTCAAAATAAAAAATGTTGATGGGAAAAAAAGGCTTTGGTAAATACTGAAATACTGAATATTCAGCATTGTTTTTCTAATCACAATTTAAATACTTTCCTTGCTCTCTCACATTAAATGATTCCTGCTTTTATAATTTGCCTATTTAATGTAGCATTTGCATTTTTGTGTGAAGGATATATAAAAGACAATTGTCTAGAAAGTAAGAAAAAGAGACTCTGGGCATTGTTTGAAAAGGAGCAAACTTTCCTGTACTTTTTGTAGTTTCTGATACCCCAAGGGACTTGGAAGTCATTGCTTCAACTCCTACCAGCCTCCTGATCAGCTGGGAGCCTCCAGCAGTCACCGTGAGGTACTACAGGATCACCTATGGAGAAACAGGTGTGTTAGCTATGAGAGTCTACTTCACATTGACCACATCTGAATGTGTTGTGGGCAGTCCTGGAAACCCATTGGTGGAGATGGAATTGAAGAGCTATGGCTCAGCCTATTCATTGGACATTGCCATATCCCAAGACTATATATATATATATATATATATATATATATATATATATATATATATATATGTGTGTGTGTGTGTGTGTGTGTGTGTGTTTTAACTGGTTGTAAAATCTAGATTAAGAAGGTGTTTGTAGAATACAACTAGAGGGGGATGAACAGAGATAAAGGAAGAAAGGTCATAAATTGACAAATATATGATGACTAATGATGTATAATTTTGCTTTCTTCTTGCTTTTCTACTTTTGTGTGTGTGTGTGCTGCTTCTAGAAAGGCTTGAACTCAGGGCCTTGGCACTGTCCTTAAGCTTTTTTGCTTAGGACTTAGTGCTCTACCACTTGAGCTACAGATCCAGTTTTGGCTTTTTGATGGTTAATTAGAGATAAGAGTCTCTCTTGCCCAGGCTGGCTTTGAACTACAATGCTTCGATCTCAGCCTTCTAAGTAACTAGGATTACAGGCCTGAGCCACCAGTGCCTGGATGTAGTCTCTAATTTTTAACATAAACATGTTCTGTTGAAAAGTTTGAAAAGAATACAATATTGGTAATCCTAGGTTGCATAAAAAGCTCACCTTCATCTCCCTTTTAACATCAATTTACAATTAGTTCATGTTCACAAGGTAGCATTTCATGTTATATCATGCTTGTTAACTTCAATTTCCTACTCCATGCAGAAATACTCCTTCCTGTCCAATCTTTGTTAACAGCACAGTAGAAGGGAATAAGTAGTAAGATGTGATTTGCATGCTGCTTTCCATTGGTTAACTCATAAGTAATACCCAAGCAACCTGGAGCCCCTCCCATTCTCCATGGTCCATTTTTGTACAGGAGGAAATAGCCCTGTCCAGGAGTTCACTGTGCCTGGGAGCAAGTCCACAGCTACCATCAGCAACCTGAAGCCTGGAGCAGATTATACCATCACCTTATATGCTATTGTTGGCCGTGGGGACAGCCCAGCCAGCAGCAAGCCAGTTTCCATTGATTATCGAACAGGTACAGACTTCTCTCTGAGTGACACAGCCTGTGTATGTGTGTGTTTGTGTGTGTGTGTTGGACTAGGAGTAGACCCAGTGGCTTGTGTGCCCTAAAGTATACACCAGCCTTGATTTTCTTTTCTTTTCTCTTTTCCCTTTCTCTCTCTTTCTTTCTTCCTTCCCTCCCCTTTTTCTCTTTTTCCTTATCCTTTCCCTTTTTCTTTTTCTTTCTTTTTGACAGTACTGGGGTTTGGATTCAGGGCCACAAGACTTACTTGCTCATCTGGCACTCTACCACTTGAGACATAGTTGCAACCCTAAATTTTGCTGTTTTGGGTGTCTTTTTTTTTTTTTTTAAGAAGACAGACTCTTTTGGACTTTTCTTTGCCCGGCTGGCCTGAAACCTTGATTCTCTGGATCCCTGTCTCTTAAGTAGTTAGGATTATAGATTCACATGAGGCACATGTGATTTGTCTTTTTAATAAGACAAAACTTGTAGCTAACAGTACCTGCAGTGAACAGGTTTGAATCAAATATACAAGAAAGCACCTCAAAAGCAGAGATTTTGTCTGTTTGATTAATATGTCTTATGTACTTGTAATGAGTGAATGAGTTGATAAGGTAAAAGGACAAACACCTGCTTAGGATATATAAAATAAAGCAGTCATCTTAAAAGTAGTTTTAAGAGCCAGGCGCCACTGGCTTACGCCTGTAATCCTAGCTACTCAGGAGGCTGAGATCTGAAGATCACGGTTCAAAGCCAGCCTGGGCAGGAAAGTCTGTGAGACTCTTATCTCCAATAAAACACTAGAAAACCAGAAGTGGCGCTGTGGCTCAAGCGGTAGAATGCTCACCTTGAGCTGAAGAGCTGAAGGACAACGCCCAAGCCCATCTATTATCTGTGTTGATCCTAAGGCTTGAACCCTGGGTCTTGGAGCTATCTGAAGTTTTCTTGCTCAAAATTAGCACTCTGCCAGTTGAGTTATAGCTCCTCTTCTCTCTGGTTAATTGGAGATAAGATTCTCATGAACTTTGCTGCCTAGGCTGGCTTTGAATCAGGATCCTCAGCTCTCAGCCTCCTGAGTAGCTAGGTTTTCAGGTCTAAACCACTAGCACTTGGCAAAGTCTTCTTTTCAGTCATGGGCTTGAACTCTGGGCTTGGGCACTATCCCTGAGCTCTTCAGCTCAAGGCTAGTGCTCTGCCACTTGAGCCACAGTGCTACTTCTGGTTTTCTGGTGGTTCATTGGAGCTAAGAGTCTTGTGGACTTTCCTGCCCAGGCTGGCTTTGAACCGTGATCCTCAGATCTCAGTCTTCTGACTAGCTAGGATTATAGGCCTGAGCTACCAGCACCCGGGCCAAACTCTTTTCTTAAAAAAAAGAAGCACATAGAAGAACAAAAGTAGATTATTTGAATATACACCAGAAATTGAAACCAGGGTCTGTGTTTCAAGGGTTGGGATGTCACCAGCTTCTCTTTGTCTTTTGTTTGTAGAAATTGGCAAACCGTCTGAGATGCAAGTGACTGATGTTCAAGACAACAGCATTAGTGTCAGGTGGCTGCCTTCAAGTTCTCCTGTCACTGGCTACCGAGTGACTACCACACCTAAGAATGGCCAGGGACCCTCCAAATCAAAAACTGTGGGTCCAGGTAAGAATAACCAATTTTCTTTTTAAAACAGCCAGTTTGTCATAAGGAATACATTTCATGTACTATATTGGAGCGATCCCATTAATAATTCAGGGGCTAAAAACTAATGCCAACTTAACTCTCTGTTTTACAATACACGAATTTCTGGTTTTTCAAAACAATTCTGTTTACTTAAGCAATTATAACTGTGGTATTGTTTAGCATGCACATCAAGGAGAGAAGGATAGCTGGGTATTGATGGTTCACACCTGTAATCCTAACTACTCAGGAGGCTGAGATTGGAGGATGGGTACCAAGACTGCCCAGACAGGAAAGTTCATGACACTTCACTTATCTGTAGTTAGCTACCAAAATGTCAGCAGTAAAGCTGTGGCTCAAGTGACAGAGTACTAATTTTGAGCAAGAAAGCTCCAGACAGCTCTCAGACCCTGAGTTCAAACCCCAAGACTGACTGGTGCTTGCTCATGCAAGTGTGCAAGTGCACACGCACATGCGTGCACATGCATGTGCGCACGCACACACACACACACACACACAAAGAGGAGTCTTATAGTTCTGTTGCTTTTATTTTTATATGAAATATTTGTAAAATTAGTTAGATCTCAGGATCAAGGTTAATTTTGTCTTTGCTTTTCAGAGCAGGATTATTAATTGGGGTATTGTATCAAGTTGTAAAACCTCAGTGTGAGGTTTGTATTAGCAATGAAGGGTCAGTTTTTTTTTTCTTTAAGAGAAAATTGATATAAGACTCATTTTGCAAGTGAAATTCTTTTCTACTGTGTTCTTACTATCAAATTCTGGAAGCTGCTTGGATGGCTTTTACAGTGTATAAACACTGCATTTGCTTTTAACTCTCTTCGCAGATGAAACAGAAATGACCATTGAAGGCTTACAGCCCACTGTCGAATATGTGGTTAGTGTCTATGCTCAGAACCAAAATGGAGAGAGCCAGCCCCTGGTTCAGACTGCAGTGACCAGTACGTAACCAACACTGGCTTCCATTCCTGAAGTCAGATTCTGTTCTTGGTTATCTGAATGTCCTCTGTATATCTTTGGCAGTTTTATATAGGGAAGACCAATTGGTTAGCTCAGTAATATATTAGGCTGAGCCCTTGACAAATGCTTTTTCTTTTCTCAGTGCTAAGTAGTGAACATACGGGAACAGAAGTTGTGGCTCTGCCATAGTTTATTGCTGTGCTTTGAATTTTTCTTTTGCTCAAATGGCCCCAGCAAAAAAATCTTATTCACATATAGCAAATTTATAAGATATTTTGCTAGAGCCTTCTTTTCTATGACTGGCTGGTAAAGTTGACTGAAGTATGTCTTGTGGAGCTATTATGTTTGAAGGACTGTGGCTGGATCAAAATTTAATACAAATACTTAATGGAGAAAAGAAGAATTTAAGAGAAAATTAGAGCTATCTGAGTTTAACATTGAAAATCAACTTTACCAATCCAAAGCCATAGAAAACCCAGGTCTTTAGGACTAACATCACATTGCAAGAACCAATCTTGGTAGCAGAGCTTCAAGTTAATTTAAATCTCCATTTGGGGACAATCTTGCAGTGTGTCTACAACTCTTACATACACCATGTTTTAATAAGTAATGCAACGTTAAGTATTTTCTAAATCAAAAAAACCAATGTCAAGTAATTTTTCCATTTAATAGTGGGGTTAAGGGAATTTAATTCATCAGAGAAAATGGAATCTGCAGAACTGCTTTGCATGTGATAAAAATGCTTATTTCACAACTTGCTTTTCACATAACCTCTTACCATTAATTTGCCTAACAGACATTGATCGCCCTAAAGGACTGACATTCACTGATGTGGATGTTGATTCCATCAAAATTGCTTGGGAAAGCCCACAGGGGCAAGTTTCCAGGTACAGGGTGACCTACTCGAGCCCTGAGGATGGAATCCATGAGCTATTCCCTGCACCTGATGGTGAAGAAGACACTGCAGAGCTGAAAGGCCTCAGGCCGGGTTCTGAGTACACAGTCAGTGTGGTTGCCTTGCACGGTGACATGGAGAGCCAGCCCTTGATTGGAACCCAGTCCACAGGTATATCGTTGACTGCACCGCTCAGGTGTACATGGGAGCAGCGGCTTTATGCCTGGCTGACATTGTATTTTATTGGGCAATTGATTCCCATGTAAGGGGGAAAATAACTCTCTTAGGATAGACTCTTTTGAAGGAGAAACGATCATTAAGATTAATATTTAGTTGATAGTTAAATAATATCAATTGATATTTAAGTAAAATCAATTGGACAATTGATTCTCACGTAAGAAGAAAAGTAACATCCTCAGGCTCTTTTAGGAAAGACATTGTTGAAAGAGCAATGATAACACAGAATAATATTTAGGTGATATTTAAGTAAATAGTTCATAAAAAGAATTTGGAGTACCTTGACTTATTAAAAAAGAAAAGCCATATGTTAAAAGACTTGTGGCTCATGCCTGTATTTCTAGCTACTCAAGAGGCTGAGATCAAGGGTTGAAACCAGTCTGGACAGGAAAGCTCTTGAGACTCTTATCACTCATTAATCAACAAAAAGCCAGTACCAAGCCAGGTGCCGGTGGCTCATGCCTGTAATCCTAGCTACTCAGGAGGCTGAGATCTGAGGATCACGGTTCAAAGCCATCTTATCTCCAATAAACCACTAGAAAACCAGAAGTGGTGCTGTGGCTCAAATGGTAGAGCACTTGCCCTGAGCCGAAGAGCATATGGATAGCACCCAAGCCAAGTTCAAGCCCCATGACCGACAAAAAAAGCGAGTACCAAGGCATGGCTCAAGTGGTAGAGCACCAGGCATGAGTGAAAGAGTTGAACAAGACTATGAGGCAGTGAGTTCCAGTCCCAGAGGAAATGATCGAACAGAAAATTAAAAGATCATAAAGTGAATCATCTGAAGGTGATACTAAAATTGTAGATTATTTTCTAAGCTATGACACCCCATAAATCAAATCCAACCATAAATCAAAGAAAGATATTTCAGCATCATAGAGCTTACTCAGTAAAACAAACAAACAACAAGGTAGGGCAGCATGATCTGGGAACACTTGAATAAGAGCTTTCTTCCCTGGCTCTATAGCATGTGGTGGGGTATAATTTGCTTTAAAGTTTCAATTCAGACACATGGGAAACAATAATTTGAGCAAATGCTATCCACAATTCTTCATCCTCTTGTGCTTTATTTCTGGAGCTGAGTGGAATGCTAAAGGCGTGTCCTAGTGAAAGTCTAAACCATAGAGGTGACCATCTGTGTTACTGCTTTTTGCTTCTCTATCCTGCTTCTGTTGTGAGCCAGCATGAGTCCCAAATAAAAAGATAGTAAAACGTGTGTGTGTGTGTGTGTATGTGTATACATGTATATGTATATATGCATATATATACACACATACACACATATACATATATATTGCATAGAATACTCTGTGAAATGGTTTTCCATATAAAAATAAATTTACATAGGAATCAGCTATTTCTCATCTTTTCATACAAATAGAAACATAATCCTAGTGACCAGTAAGCCAATCTAATTTTTTATTTTATTTTTCTGTTTAAGGGATTGGGGAACCCTTTAAAAATCTAAAGCCTCTTGGAGTTTTTGAAATGTGGTGGATATGCAACATGTTATTTCAGCAAACACTTTCTTCACTTTGTAACCCTTCTTAATACTTTATTGTATTGAAATTTATCTGACTCTAAAAGAACAATCTATTCTTGTACTTCTTATTTCCCCCTTTTCTCCATTTCCTGTGAGAAAACCTCTAACGAATGACCATTCCAACAGCTATTCCTCCTCCAACCAACCTGAAGTTCACTCAGGTCACACCCACAAGCCTGAGTGCCCAGTGGACAGCACCCAATATTCAGCTCACTGGATACCGAGTGCGTGTGACCCCCAAGGACAAGACGGGCCCCATGAAGGAGATCCACCTTTCTCCTGATAGCTCTTCCGTGGTTGTATCAGGGCTCATGGTAAGAAGTGATTTCCCACCAGGCACTGGAAGTTTACACCTATAATCCTGACTACTCAGGAGGCTGAGATCTCTTTCCTTGCCTGGGAAGGAAAGAGATTCTTATTATCAATGAAACATCAAGAAGTTGGAAGTGGAACTTTGGCTCAGGTGTACAGTGTCATGGCCCTGAGTTCAAGCCCCAGTACTGGAATGTGCATGTGCGCATACACATAGACCTAGACACACAGACACACACAGTGACTTTCCATCATTAATATTCAAAAGTAGGTCATCTTTTACAGTTTATAAGATGGTAGAATATAATCTCATTATAAACTTTTTTCCCCATGGCATCAAATAATTTTAAATCAATAGAATTCCTTTATGTTGCCCTATGCCCTTTCTAGATGACTATTGAATAGGATTGTATATTAGCTTTAGATTTTGTGTAGTTCATTTTTACAAGGATTTTGCTTATTTTAAAACATTATATGTATGTAAGGGACAACACAGAATTTATGCATTTTTGTGAGCTGGCATATAATATTCTCCAGTTTGTACTAACCCATATCTACTTGACCCTCATTAAAACATTTTTTGTAATCCTTCTAGACATTATGCAGAAAACTAGCTAGGATCCTAAGAGATTGATAAATACCTTAATAATAGGCCAACTCTGGGTGAAACTACACAAAAGGGTTCAGAGATGGAGCAGCAAATTCTCTTTTCCCATCTGTGATCAGAAAAATTCTTAATTTGTACCTGTCAGATCATAAGGGGAAAATAGCAGGCTAATACCTCTTTTTCATTTTTATTTTTATCAGTTTAACATAAATGTGTAATTTTAAAGCTTAGTTGGGCATAAATCCTGAGCGTGTTTTTATTTAAGTCTCTTGCCAGTCATCTGTAAATAGGAATGTGAAATTAATCTAGGAGTTTACAGTGCTATATGTTGCTAGTTTATAAGTATTTTCTTTCTTTTATAACCACTGGAGTTACCTGATGCTTTAGTGAAAGTTTAGGTATCATGCAATGACACTGCAAAAGCTTACCGTGTCCTTATTTCTAGGTGGCCACCAAATATGAAGTGAGTGTTTCTGCTCTTAAGGACTCATTGACAAGCAAACCGGCCCAGGGAGTGGTCACCACTCTGGAAAGTAAGTAATCAAAAGTTTTAATACTGACAAGAATTAGTGAATGAGATCTTTGATCACTAAGTTAATCATGGAGGGAATCTTGATTTTTTTTTAAACATGGATGTTGTCATTTCTCTTTTTGAATGCTGCCATTAAGGCACCTTCAGAAAATGGCTTACTGGACTAAGAACGAGAATCACTGCTTGTTATGATGACATGGATTAGGGCTGCCAAACAGATGATGCACTATTTGTCAGAATTTTTCATAGGGTTGAGTTTGGGAAGGACACAGGCTCTTGCTGTATTTTAACAGTGCAGGAATAAGGAGACCAACATGAGCTTGGATTTTTAGTTCTCCCCTGCTGTATGTCAATAACCTGCCATATGCGTTTTCCCCAAGGACATGAAGTGTCGGTTTTGCCATCTATAAACCAAGGATAAAATAGAGAAAAGATATGAAGCCTTATAAAAACGACAACATGCCAGCAATAATATTAGCCACATTATATATAATTGCTGGCTGTGTTATTGTAATTCCTGCCACATACACTGTTACATTACAGTCAATTGATCATTTTTAACACTAAGGCATCTGCAGATATTGTAAAGTCAGCCCTGACTTTATAGAGTATTATATAAAAGCAGGTAATATTTATAAAGCACTTCCATTCTTCAAGGTTTAAGAGGTGAAAATTCTCTTTCCTAATTATTATTGATTTTTCTCTTTGAATGTGAGAAGAGATAACCTATAGATTATTAGTCTGTGTCTTTTTCTGAAATAAATGTATTTGGTACATAATGAAGACATGTTTTAAAGTACCAAAAGCTTCCATGGCTGAACCAGGCAGGCGTTAACTGATGTCACTGTGATCCATGCAGACGTCAGCCCTCCAAGAAGAGCCCGCGTGACGGATGCTACGGAGACCACAATCACCATTAGCTGGCGAACCAAGACTGAGACTATTACAGGCTTCCAAGTTGATGCCATCCCAACGACTGGCCAGACCCCAGTTCAGAGAATCATCAGCCCAGATGTCAGGAGCTATACCATCACAGGTCAGCACTCACCACACCATGTGTGTTCATCACATTCACAATACAAACTCACTTATGAGTAATTCTGTGACTTTCGCTGGTCATCCTATTTCCAATGTTTTGTGGTGATACAGTGTGATAAAGTTGTTGGTGTACATGATGAGAAACAATTTTGTTTGTGAACCTCTGATTTCATTGAGTATTTATCAGAGAAATAGCCTAAATCTTAATATTCATCAAATTTATTCTTCATTACAATGCCCTTGTTTATTTAATATCTATATTATTTTTAAGTTTTATTTTATCATTTTGTTTTATTTGTGTCTAAGCATGGTGGTGAGCATGATCTTGAGCTTGAGGTCCAGAATAAGATACTGTTTTAAAAATAAAGCTGGGCTGGGCATGTGGCTTAGTGGTGGAGTGCTTGCCTAGTATGCAAGAAGACCTGAGTTCGATTCCTCAGTACCACATAAACAGAAAAAGCTGGAAGTGGAGCTGTGGCTCAAGTAGTAGAGTGTTAACCTTGAGCAAAAGAAGCTCAGGAACAGTGCCCAGGCCCTGAGTTCAAACCCTAGGACTGGCAAAAAACAGCTAAATAAAAAATTTAAATTTAAATTAAAAAAAATATTTAAACCAAAAGAAAGGATGGTGTGTAATCCTTAGCATTAATAATATTAGGTATAAAAGTCAACAGCTTATGCCTATAATCCTACCTACTTAGGAGGTTGAGATCTGAGAATCCAGATTTGAAGTCAGCTGGGGCAGACAAATCCATGAGAATCTTATCTTTGATTAAGCAGCCAACAGCTGGAAGTGGAGGTATCAGCCATGAGGAAGAAAGCCAATGGAGAGTGCGCAGGCCCGAGTTCAAGCTCCAGTACTGCACCAAAAAAAAATAAATAAATTTATAAAAACATACAATGCTACTTAATAAAGGTCAAAGTGATAATCAGATTACTTTTAATATCTGGATTAGTTTATGTCTTTTTAATGTTTACAAATCTAATTCCAGGTACTAACAAATAATTTATTATGCTAAGGGGAAAAACCCCTCTAATAGTTGACTGCCCCTCCTCTAAGATGGTGGGTTAGGAACCAACATTTTCCCATTTTGAAATTTATTTTAGCTGGGATCATTGTCTACCATTAGTAATGTGATTTGGGGGTATGTTTCTCATTAACAGTTAATACCCATATCATGCGCTACTATTCAATTATGCACCACTTTTATGATCTACATAAATATGGAGCAGTAAAGGAGCCAAGAAAATGTCAGTTTCACTTAAAAAAAAAAAAAAAAACTCCTAGTAAAGCAAGAACACGTAAGAACCATGTCTTTTCAAATCCCAGGTTTACAACCAGGCACTGACTACAAGATCCACCTGTACACCCTGAATGACAATGCCCGGAGCTCCCCTGTGATCATTGATGCCTCTACTGGTAACTATCCTTTGCACTGGGGAAATGCAATCAGGAATCAGTCACGTGAACTTAAAAATACCACAGGAGTAGCTGACATTTCTGGTATTGTAGCTTGCCGTGAATTATCTATAGTTGACAGAATTCTCAGTCTCTTTAGGACTGGGGTGGAATAAAGGAGAACATGTGAGAGTACTGATATGGCATATTACTTTTCTGAGACTTCATTCTGTTTCCTTTTTAGCCATTGATGCACCATCCAACCTGCACTTCCTGACCACCACACCCAACTCTGTGCTGTTATCATGGCAGCCACCCCGTGCCAGAATTACTGGCTACATTATCAAGTATGAGAAGCCTGGGTCCCCTCCCAGAGAAGTAGTCCCTCGGCCCCGCCCAGGTGTCACAGAGGCTACCGTTACTGGTACAACTGCTTTTATATTGACAATTTTCTCATTTCCTTGAACTTGCCTTCCATTCTGAGGGCAGAAAGCTTGGTCCCGTAGAAGGCAGTCTGTATAGGAGCAGTAGAGTTCATAGGCCTCAAAACCCATGAATCTAAGAACATGCAGTGTCAGTCTTGTAATACGGCATAACAAGGTTGTCTGGATTTTTTTTTTTTTTTTGCTTAAGTTCACCTGTACAATTCTGGAAGAAGGTAATTTCCATTGCAAACTTGCTAGTTATGATCATGTCCTCACACTCAGCCTCCTATAGCTCTGGTAATGCTGTACAAACTTCCTAATTACCACCTGTCATTGGTCCCAGTATGCAGTTACACATAATAGATCTGGAGGCAGCACCATCCCACCACCATTCCTGGATAGAGTACCTGGGGTGGGAAAAATGTTGCCCCCTTCGTGAGAAATGTTATAGGCCTCTGGTATTTTTTGCCTTAGAGATGAAACAAATTGTATTGGTAGTATCTAAATATTAGAATCCTATAGAGAATATGGAGAATGCAGATACCTAGAGACACTGTCTTCCTCTGACATTTCAGGGATCAGGGAAGTTGATGTGGGAATTGATGAGCTGGATACTTCCTACAGGGCTCACATGAAGATTGGTTAACTGTCTTAACTTTTTGTGCTCTGCCATTGATGGTTGCCTGGTTTAGACCTAAATAGATTCATTTATAAAATCTACAGTGACCCCACGTGTGTGCTGTATTGGTGGTATACTCTATTGAATATATTCTATATTGAATATATTAGCCAATATATTCAAAATTGAATATATTGGCTAAAAGAGTACCCTAGGGGCCAGGTGCCAGTGGCTCATGCCTGTAATCCTAGCTACTTAGGCTGAGATACAAGGATCGTGGTTCGAAGCTAGCCCAGGCAGGAAAAATCTGTGACTCTGTCTCTAATTAACCACCAAAAAACAAAACCCTGAAGTGGAGCTATGATTCAGGTGATAGAGCACTATCCTTGAGTACAAAAGTTCAGGAACAGCACCCAGGTCCTGAGCAAGCCCCAGGACTGGCACCAGGGTGGGCGGGGGAGGGGGAGTGGAGAATATCCTAGAAAAGTCCATAAGGAAGTGATCATTCAAGTGTCAGGTGTGATGGCAAGGTGGAGAGGGATGAATACTTGCTCCCCAGCAGCCTCTGTTGGCATGGCAACCCCCACTTGACTAGCTGGGCCCACCAACCTTAACGTGCCTTCCCATGTTCTTCTGTCAGGCTTGGAACCAGGAACTGAGTACACGTTCTATGTCATTGCCCTGAAGAACAACCAGAAGAGTGAGCCTCTGATTGGAAGGAAAAAGACAGGTAAAGAGCTATAGTGGAGAAGGTTAAAAAGAAAAAGAAGCCTCATCGCGAATCATTGAGAAATACTCCACATTTTGATGCATTTCTCAGGGAACTCTTTTTCTCCTAATAGCATAGCTTATATGTTTTTTGACACACTTTTGACAGGAATAACATAAGAAGCTCTGAGGAGTTCCTTTCATTTACAGCAGTCATTATAAAATCTTACTATTCCTTTTCAAAAAAAAAAATCAAACTGTATGTTATTATGATCTCAGGTGGACATTGCATTCTACCAAATTCCTATGATGTTCTTAAATTTTTGTTTCGGTCTTCTTTTATTATTTGGTTTCTGAAACTTACTTTGTTATCCAGTTTCAGTTTAATATGAAGAAAATACTACATCAGTCGTGTTAGGAATGCCTTTGAAAATAAATGTCTATGTGTTTTTATCTATGCTTACCACTTCAAGAAAAATCTTTTGAGCAGAACCTCTGTAATTCTCACACTTCAGATACTGTTATGATTATTTTGGATTCTAGATCCAACAAGATGCTTCTCAAATGTAAAAGAAAAACAAGGGCGAAAGGCTGCATACCGCATTTCTTATAGGCTTCATGTGAGCAGAGGCAGCTTTTATGGGGCTCAGCGGCTCAAAGCTTTGTATGTATGATAAATTCATGGCTCAAAGCTTTGTGTGTCTGATCAATTCATACTAACACTTTTTTTTTTCTAAGCAACAAAGAAACCTTTGAGAAAAAAAATCAAAGATTTCTTTTCCAGAAAAAAAAAATGTTTTATGATCTGTGGACTGCTGATTTTCCAGGGGCTTTGATCAAGTTGATAAACTGTCGTTGTTGCCTGAATTGATAACAATTATTGCTGCCAATGACTGGAGCTTAACGCGCTTTGCTTTTTTTGGCTCTAACCTCTCTTGGCTAGATGAGCTTCCCCAACTGGTAACCCTTCCACACCCCAATCTTCACGGACCAGAAATCTTGGATGTTCCCTCCACAGTTCAAAAGACCCCTTTCATCACCACCAATCCTGGGTATGACACCGGAAATGGTATTCAGCTTCCTGGCACATCCCATCAGCAGCCCAGTGTTGGGCAACAAATGATCTTTGAGGAACATGGTTTTAGGCGGACCACACCACCTACCGCGGCCACCCCAGTAAGGCTCAGGCCACAGCCATACACACCGAACGTAGATGAGGAGATCCAAATTGGTCACGTCCCCAGGGGAGACGTAGACTACCACCTCTATCCTCACGTTCTGGGACTCAATCCAAATGCCTCTACAGGACAAGAAGCGCTCTCTCAGACAACCATCTCTTGGACCCCATTCCAGGAAAGCTCTGAGTACATCATTTCATGTAATCCTGTTGGCACCGATGATGAACCCTTACAGGTAATTTGTTTTTAATTCCTTTCTTGGGACTAGGCACCCTAACAGGGTTCAACTGGTAACAGAAGTGACCATGTTTAGATACAAAATAATTGACTCTTCTAGGACTCTTAGCAATAGCATGTGTAAGCTCTGAATATATAGATATATTTTAAAATCTCTACTTTCGTAGATGTACTAGATGGAGTATATCATTAACTCTTACTTGGTAGAAAAAAATGGAATAATTTTTATTATTCTTATACATTAGAGTCTCTTCAGTGAGTTGGACAGAAAGATGATCCTAAGAAAGTAAGAAAGGAGGAAAAGGAAAGAAAGGTAGAAGGAAAGAAAGAAAAAATGAAAGAAAAGAAAGACCGTATTCTGCTTGAATTTACATTTGTTTAAAGTCTAAAATACCCCTTAGAATTTGTCCTTGAGAAATCCCAATATGTCTTAAAAAGACATATTGTGTACCAGCCGATTGATTTTTCTAAGGGAAAACACCATTCTTTAATTTGTCCCACTGGTACAGGAATCATTTTTTATTGTGTTCTTATTTTTAGGAAGTGTCAGAAATTGTCAAATAGTCTGTACTTTGGGAATATATGGCTCAAAAACAAGAGGTGGAGGATGTTCTTGCGTCTTATGGTCTGTTGCCTCCTTGCTTGGCATGACCGTATCTCCCATAGAGCACCATATGTGTGTTTGTGTGAAGACCACATGGCCAGTTCTCTGGCTTCTGTGCAGGATTATGAGGAAGCCTACAAAGTTGAGGGCCTCTGGCAACTAGGGAGCACAGAGGGAAATTTTTGATAAAAAGCTGGCAGAAATGGTGGCTTCATCCCACTCATTCTACTTCTCTCCTTGGCTAGTTGGGAGTCTTACAATGATCCTCTTTATGTCATCCTGTGCTTTGTGTTTAAGCAGAGCAGGTTATTGAGAAGAGAATGGGGTAGGGGCCATGTCTGTGCTTCACTTTAACGCGTTCTCCCCACTTTGGTTGTACCAATAATTGCAGTTCCGAGTTCCTGGCACTTCTTCCGCTGCCACTCTGACAGGCCTGACCAGGGGGACCACCTACAATATCATAGTGGAGGCCATGAAAGACCAGAGGAGGCACAAAGTGCGGGAGGAGGTTGTTACAGTGGGCAACTCTGGTATGTACACTTGAGCTGTTCAGGCCCAAGCCCCCAGAGGAGGAGGCTTTTTCTATTGTTTCTCTGTTACTGTTGTTTTTTTTAGGCATTTGAAGCAAAGCTGCAGCATCTATATGCGGTAAAGAACAGGCTTAGCTCCAGTTATTTTTCCCTTGGCTGGTATGCATACAGAACAAAGAGACTGAGAAGATGATATATTGGTCTAGAAGGGACTTCAAGTATTTTTTTAGTTCAACATTGAGTCCTTGCTCATGAATGTCTTGAGGTGACATAGGACATTGGGTTCCTGATATCTTTTCCTTAACCCTCTCTGTCTCATCAATTGGTGTTCCCATTGAGTGTTCCTAGTCCTGAAATTGATTACTTGTAAAGAAACACTCCCTCCTACCCATAGTTTCTTTGTTCCAAAGTTATACATATATATATTTTTTTATTTTTTTGCCAGTCCTGAGGCTTGAACTTAGGGCCTGGGCACTGTCCCTGAGCTTCTTTTGCTCGAGGCTAGCACTATACCACTTGAGCTACAGCGCCACTTCTGGCTTTTTCTATATATGTGGTACTAAGGAATTGAACCCAGGGTTTCATGCATGCTAGGTGCGCACTCTACCACTAAGCCATATTCCAGCCCAGTTATTATATTTTAATGTCTTTTTTCTAGTTATATAATAAAAGTTAAATAACCATTGACACCCCCCCACACACACACACTCCTGCTTGTGTGGGTACACACACATGTATGCATGGGTATGTGCCTGTACTGGAGCTCTTCACTCAAGGCTGAGCTTCTACCTACCAGGGCTGGCTTTGCGCGCAATCTTCAGATCTCAGCCTTCTGAGTAGCTAGGATTACAGGTGTGAGCCACCTGGCTTCTGAGCTGGCTTTGAACCACAATCCTATCTCAGCCTCCTTAGTAGCTAGGATTGTAAGTATGAGGCCCTGGCGCCCTGCGCATTGACTCTTTGTGGCACCTGAGATGTCCCTTAGCGTGCCACTTGGCTTTTCAATTTAGATGGTAAACTCTTTCCATTTTCTTTCTAACTCAGGCTAGGTTATTCTGGCTTTGAACGTTTTAGTTCTCTAGGTACTATTTTTTCCCCTACTAATTTTTTTTTTTGCCTTTTGAAATATTAGGCACTTCAAATACCTGTTGCATTTGAGCTTTTGATATTTTTACACTGTAAAAACGTATGCATTGGATTTGAAGTCACAGTGTTAGCTTATTTGATATTTAGAGAATAACTTGAGGCACACTTTATACAGATTATTGAAAAATTAGTTTTTCCAAGACATGAAAGGACAAGATCTTAAGTAACAGGATGAGGTGTGGTTACTTATTCCTAAGTCGTTTATATCCTGTTGCTTTCTCTTATTTGGAAGTTAGTTTTAGTGATAAAAGCAACTTTACCATTATAATAGTGCATGAAATCTAGGAATTTTGCATGGTTACACAAAACATGGTATAAGGGCATCTGAAAATGCCAAGACTTGGATGAAATCTTAGCTACTCAGGAGATTAAAAATCAGGAGACTCATGGTTCCCAGGCCAGCCTGGGAAAAATGTTAACAAGATTATCTCAACATATTAGCTAGACACTATGGTACAATTTGTATTTCCAGCTATGCAGGAGACTATAGATAGGAAGCTCCTGGCAAAAACACATGTCAGAAAAATCACTAATGCAAAAAAGGGGCTGGGAGCATGGTTCAGGATCTGCCTTTGCAAATACAAGATCCTGAGTTCAAACCCTAGTAGCCACATAAACAACCAAACAAATGTTCACTTTGGCATTATAAGCAAAGAATCACATCTAATCATTCTTAGTGGGCACTTTCAAGTGTTTTGACAAAAGCCAATGCTATCAGTTCTTCATCTCATACAATCTTTATATGGTAAGTGAATATTAATTCATTATTAACTCAGAATTAATTCACAAATAATTAGTTGAAGGGTATTCAGGTATTCATGGAAAGGCATCATCACCACCTGAGGTCTTATCTAGTTTTAAACTGCTCCAGAATCTGTTTCATGTTCTGTAAAGTAAACCTACCGGGAATGAGCAGTTTGTAGAAGTGATGACAGAAATGAAAGCTGGGCTTCTTTATGATGCTGTGGCAGGTGATCCCTGACTCCACGTAAACATTGTTTGTGAGTGAGTGTCCCTTCGGAGGAGTCCAATGCTTCTTTGTGCTACTTGGTTAAGCCCTTCTATGTCATGCTTCCATTGCTCCTTATGGTCCCAGCCCACCAATAAAATGTATTTTTATCTTCCTTTTCTTCCAGTCAACGAAGGCCTGAACCAACCCACCGATGACTCATGCTTTGACCCCTACACAGTTTCCAATTATGCCATTGGAGAGGAATGGGAGCGGTTGTCTGAATCTGGCTTTAAGCTCACGTGCCAGTGCTTAGGCTTTGGCAGTGGTCATTTCAAATGCGATTCATCTAGTGAGTAGCTTGCTTTGTCCATCCATCTTTTCTTCCATCTCTTCCAGAGAGTTCCATTGCATTTGCACTAATGTACCAGAGAAGCATGTTTGGGCACAAGCTTTCCCAAACATGAAGCAAACACAAGAGAACTGTTTGATTCAGAGTAACATTTTGCATCATAAAAATATATGATGGGAAATTTTACTTGTCCAATATTGCTTTATTAATAGGATTGTACACTAAACCAACTGTTAACTAAAAAATAAGTTTGTAGTGGTGATTTGACTTATTAAGTTTTCTGTTAAATTTAATCAAAGTCAGATTCTTAGGAGCCAGGTGGATTGGTGATACAAACTACCAAATCGCTGTTAATCTTTATGTTGAATGAGATCAGAGGTGAACATTTAAAAATGTAAACACTGTGTCTTTAAACACAAACCAAACATACTTGTGTCAGTATACCATTATACACACACACACACACAAACTCTGTCTCTCTGTCCCTCTGTCTCTGTCTCTACCATCACAACAACCATCACTCAGCTTTAACATTTTCCAATAATATGAAGCAATGTGTACACAGGAATCAACTAGAATTAAAACATAATTTGATTTTCAAAGCATAAAGGCATTTTAACTTTAAAGAAGTTTGTAGTAAAACCTGATCCTAGGAATTACCTATTATGCTTTGAGGTTTAATAGTAGAATCTATAATGTTTCACTTATTATTTCTATTTAGGAGATATAATTATTCACCATTGATTCATTTTTACAGGTGCTAACCATTATATCTTATGAACAAGCCCTCCTATGGACAATTACAGAAATCATTCTGTGGAACTGAAATAGAACAGATTTTTTTAAAAAAAATTGCTTGAATGCATTTTATTTCTGTTGTATACACAAAGTGATTTAATCCAGACTGAAATTTAAAAGCTAATCGGTGTTTTCAGTGTAGGACTTCTGAGCTTGGCCAGCTGAGAATGGGAAGGTGGGGCAGGGCTCTGGAGAATCTTGTGATGGAGTTGATGTCATTACTGTCTACTTGGTGATTGTTGCTTTTGGGCATTGAACTACCTTTACTTTGCATATTTTTACCTGCATAAGTATCTAGGTACAATTGTGGGGACCCAACTATATGCTTGTTTGTGTGAATCTTTAGCTCAACCTACATATTCTTTACTAAAATGTTATAATTCTTTAACTTTTTTATAGTTTAAGACTATAAAATGATAAAATGGAAGAAGTGATGTACTGTGATATAAATTTCTGAAGGATGTTCTGTTTCAGGGATTAAAAAGTCACTTTTATTTCTGATAGTTAGATGCATAACTTGAGCCTTGGACGTCTGTGGAAGCCATGTTTTACTTGTAGGTTAATTATGATTGTTGTCATTCTGCTTCATTTCTGTTCTGTCACTTAGGTTTATTTTATGCCTTCTATTTATATGAGGCAAGTGGTGACTGGTAGAAACCATTTGATCTCTACTTATGATTAACTACTTTATCTCTGAGGTCTCAGCAAATCCAAAGTGATTTTTTTTAATCCCTAAAACACCCAAGCTGGGTGCTGGTGTCTCATGCTGTAATCCTTGCTACTCAGGAGGCTGAGATCTGAGGATTGTGGTTCAAAACCAGCCCTGCCTGAAAGTCCATGAGACTCTTATTTTCAATAAACTACCAGAAAACCAGAAGTGGTGCTGTGGTTCAAGTGGTAGAGTGCTAGCCTTCAGCTGAAGAGCTGAAGGAGAGCGCCCAGGCCCAGAGTTCATGCCCCACGACCTACCAAAAAAAAAAAAAAATACCCAATCTGACTTTAATTCTCTAAAAAATTTTAAATCTTAATAGTGAGAATTCAAATGGGAGTCATTGATTTGTTCTATGACATATTAATAACAGAATAAACTTTGAAAGTGGCCTAGAAAATATCAAATACTGTAGACAGTATTTTAACATCCAGTCAGAGTCTGCTCGTCATGGAGCTCTTATCTGTACCTTCTCATACTTTCTGCATCCATCCATCCCAGTGCACTGGCTGTCCCGTGAGTCAGAACACAACGAACCCTTTGCCTGTGGTTTCTCCATTTTGCAGAATGGTGCCATGACAATGGTGTGAACTACAAGATTGGAGAGAAGTGGGATCGGCAGGGAGAAAACGGCCAGATGATGAGCTGCACGTGTCTCGGGAATGGAAAAGGAGAATTCAAGTGTGATCCTCGTACGTTGCCACAGATCTCTGCCTTCTGGAATGCTCCCCCTTTTTGTTATCTGCAGGGACTTGGAGATCTCTTTGAAGATGGAATGGTGGTTTTTGTTATTCTTTTGACTTGGAAATGCAAAGTTGAGGTTCAAAAAGGAGTTATGTATCACTTAATGCTATTCCAAGATACTGCAGCACTTTCTAACTTTTCTAGCCTGAATATTTTGACCATTATCTTCAGGAAAATATTACAAGAAGGCTTTGTTAATCTGTAGATGCAGGGTTTATTTTATGGTTGTTTTTTTTTATCAGTGCTTGGACTTGAACTCAGGGCCTGCGCATGGTTCCTGAGCTTCTTTTGCTCAAGGCTAGCATTCTACCACTTGAGCTACAGCTCCACTTCTGGCTTTTTTTGTTTATGTAGTACTGAGGAATCGAACCCAGGGCTTCATGCATGCTAGGCAAGCACTCTACCACTAAGCCACATTCCCAGCCTATAGCCTTTTTTTAAATAAAAATATGTCATTTTATTGTTATTATTAAGGTGTTGTACAGAGGGTTTACCATTTCTTAAGTTAGAAATGACTGCATTTTTATTTTTGGACACTGTCACTCCTTTGCTTTCCCCTAGTTTTCCTATCCTATCTCTGCCCATAAGTTATATAGTTCATTTTCCACATAGTTTACACTGAATAGTAAGATTGCATTTATTCACCCTCCCTGCCTCCCTTTCTGTGCTTCCCTTTGCCTCTCTCCCCCCCACTCAGTTAAAACCTTTCTGTCTTCCCATTGAACCTAGTAGATCAAGCTTGGAGAAACATGGCCCTAAGATCTATGCATCACTACCTACCATGGACACTCACATGCATGAGATTTGGGCTAAGATACAAATGTTGGAGCCACCCTGACATTAGGTCAAATCTACATTACCTTCTTAGTCTTACAAACACTTTTTATTTGTACCCACATGTAGATGAAGCTACATGCTATGATGATGGGAAGACATACCATGTAGGCGAACAGTGGCAGAAGGAATACCTGGGGGCCATTTGCTCCTGCACATGCTTCGGAGGCCAGCGGGTAAGACTGGACGTACTAAGCTCTCTACAATGTAGAAGACTTACAAAGGAGGCTTCTGTGTGGATGTGCTGTGTACACAAGGGTACCAGGACCTCTAATGAAGAGTCCCTAAGACAAGAGTATCCTTTCCCAGGTTCCCTGTCCTTGTCAGCCTCAATCCCTGTAATACCTGTTTGCCCTCTTCCTTAGCACCTATAGTGTTAAAGCTGTAGGAGTGCTCTTGCTGTATTATTTGTTAGTGTGTGTGTGCAATACTGGGATTTGAACTCAGGGCCTGAGTGCTATTCCTGAGCTATTTTCTCTCAAGGCTGGTGCTCTACCATTTGAGTCACAGTTTCACTTCCAGTTTTTTGGGTGATTAACAGGAAATAAGGAGTCTCATGGACTTTTCAACCCAGGCCAGGCTGGCTTCGAATTACAGTTCTCAGGTCTATATTTTGAGTAGCTGGGATTACAGACATGAGCCACCTGTGTGCAGCATGGTTAAATATTTTGAACAATACCTGGGATCTAAGCAAATGCCACTTCTTGGTGCCCCTCATTGATCCTTAAATGTCGCTATAATACTATGGTAAATAAGGAGGGGAAAATAAAGGGAGTGAGAAGTGGCCTAGAGAAGTCAGACACATTAAACTAGCAGACATTGCAAAATCAAACTAATTAAGTATGATTGAGTGAGGCTGGAATCAGTAAGGTTCCATGAGAAAGAGAAGCACGGGCTGGCTGATGTCTGAGATTTGTTCCAGGGAGGGAAGAAAGCAGAGAGACAGTTTAGTCTCTGAGAAATGCTAGGATTCTAGGCACATCTCCTCTATCCAGTGCAGAAAGCTTACTGAGGAGGCTGGGCTAGAATAAGCCTTGGTCGGTGAGTGGGGTTTGCATGGAAAGACAATGGAGGACATGTCCAGAGAAAGGACCGACGAAAACAGGCAGGGCAAGTGTAGGATACAGCAATAAACCAAAATGTATGGAGAATTTAAATAAGTGGGACCATCATCACAGCTTCCTTAGTGATTATCTGCTTGTATTTTGCAATGCACAAGAGGCAAGAGTCTTTACTCAAGCACTAAATTACAGTGTCTTCTGGTTATTTTAATTTGATTTTATGTTCTCTCCTCAGGGCTGGCGCTGTGACAACTGCCGCAGACCGGGAGCTGAATCCAGTCCTGAGGGCACCACTGGCCACTCCTACAACCAGTATTCGCAGAGATACCACCAGAGAACGAACACTGTAAGTGCATTTTGTCATGTCTCCCTCCCCAAATGCAATCAGGTACACAGCGGGAAGTATGCTTCTTCTAAATGAATCAAATGAGTTTAATTTTTTTTAAAAAAAGGTCTGACAAAACCTATCATCATAGCTGCTTGAGATGTAGAGACTTGGGGAATCTAGGTCCCCAGGAGAGGACATGGGGGTTGAAGAAGTGAGGGAAGTAGCTGAAGTTTCCATTTAACCAATGGCTGAGCGGGTGGTGTGTGCCTGTCATTGTCAGCCATGGGAAAGCACAAATAGGAGGATCACAGACCAGGTTGTCAGGGGGACATATATTGAGACCATACCTTGAAAATAATCCAGAAATGGAATGGGGGCAGGGCAAAAGTGGTAGAGCACCTGCCTAGGAAATGTGAGGCTTCAATCTTCACTAACAGGAAAAACTAATAATATTTAATAAAAGTCTTACAAGTGACTTGGGTGGGTCACTATGTCCTAGATCAGAATGTATAGTTTATTAAACTCCTGAACCTCTCGGATTGCTTAGTGTTTTGGTAGGGTCTTGAAAGTGTCCTTTCTGTAAGTACCTGCCATAGAAGTCTTCTCTGTCCACACTTTTGTTTTTTTTCTCATTGCTTTCTTTTTTTTTCTTCCATTTAACAGAATGTTAATTGTCCAATTGAGTGCTTCATGCCGTTAGATGTCCAGGCTGACAGAGAAGATTCCAGAGAGTAATATTTGCAACCCAAAGGAGCAAGCGTGTCTCTCTCTTTCTCTGCCGAGGTCCATCCAAACTAGAGTGATGCAGCAGATCTCATGTTTGAGTGTTCGTTTCTTTCTTATGCCTTTTGCCCTGGAGTTAAGACCTCCAGCTTCAGCGCGACTCACAGCTTGTCCGAAAGCATCACCCTGGGAGGGTTTTGAGATATTTCTCGTGTAAGGGCAGCGTACTGCCTGCTCTGCTTCAGAATATTCAGTACCGCTCAGTATTTTTTAAAGAAATGATTCTCAGTGTGATTTGGTTTGGGATCCATAGAGAAGCATATGCAGCCAACCAAGATGCAAAATGTATTGACTGATACTAGAAAAATTTTTCAATAGGAAAGTTACCCAAACACTTCTGCTTTCATTTAACTGTCCAGGCCCCTCGACTATCGATATGGCATACTGTGATGTTTGAAATTTTTTTTCACAGTACTTACTTTCAGAAGATTTTAATAATTGCCTGGAAATACCTTTCTCTTACCTGTTATTTATCAATTTTTCCCAGTATTTTTATACGGAAAAAATTGTATTGAAGACACTTAGTATGCAGTTGATAAGAGGAATTTGGTATGATTATGGTTGGTGATTATTTTTTATACTGTATGTGCCAAAGCTTTACTACTGTGGAAAGAAACTGTTTTAATAAAAGATTTACATTCCATGACTTGAAAGTCTCTTTAAAAAACAAAAACATCCAGGTATTGGGGGAGGAAATGAGAATCTTCATGAATGTGCTTTTTCTTTTCAATTTAACAAAATTGAAAATGTGTAAATCTTAGGTGATTTCTGTACAAGACTTTCTGCCTATTGCTAGAAAAACACAGAATCTTTTTTTTTCTTTTGGTCAGTCGTGGGTCTTGAACTCTGGGCCTGAGCATTGTCCCTGTGCTCTTTAGCTCAAGGTGAGTGCTCTACCACTTGTGCCACAGGGCCACTTCCGGTTTTCTATCGTTTTTATTGGGGATAAGAGGCTAGCGGACTTTCCTGCCCAGGCTGGCTTTGAACCATGATCCTCAGATCTCAGCCTCCTGAGTAGCTAGGATTATAGGTGTGAGCCACGGGCGCCCGGCTGAAAAACACAGAATCTTGTGTGTATGTGTTGGGGGTGTTTCTGGGGCTTGAACCCAGGACCTGGGCATTGGTCCTGTGCTTTAGTGCTCAGTTCTGACATACTACCACTTGAAACATAGCACCACTTCTGGCTTTTTGGTGGTTAACTGGAGATAAGAGCCTCACAGATTTTCCCGTCTGGGCTTTTTTTTTTTGGGGGGGGGCGGGCGGGATGGGGGTCCGGTCGTAGAGCCTGAACTCGGCCTGGGCACTGTCCCTCAGCTCTTCAGCTCAAGGCTAGGCACTCTACCACTTAAGCCACAGCACCACTTCCGGTCTTTTTTCTTTTTGCTTATGTGGTGCTGAGGAATCGAACCCAGGGCCTCATGCATGCAAGGCAAGCCCTCTACCACTGAGCCACCTTCCTAGCCCGTCTGGGCTGGTTTTGAACCACAGTCCTCAGATCTTAGTCTCTTGTGTAGCAAGGAGTGAGCCACAGTACCCAGTTACAGATCCTTTTTTTTTTTTAATGCTCTTCTGGAGAGAGAGCTTGTTTACCTTAAGTGGACTCAACTATTTATATTAAACTTTGGAGCTAACACTTCATGAATGTATGACTGAAATAATCTTCAGTTACTTTAGTCATTATAATGCTTCCCCTCTCCTCTTCTCCTTCCTTCACTGAATAGACATCTACTCTACAGATCACCTGCAAGGAAAGTGAGGATGACTGAGCGGTTACAACATTACAGAACAAGGCAGTTTTGTCTTAGGGAATCCCTCTGGTATAATAACCTCTCTCCAGCCTGTGTTAATTCATGTCAGCAGACACTTAGCATGACTTGATAAACTCCCCACTGGACAGTTTGTTTACTCCTGGCCTGCAAAGATAATTTCCTTTTCCATTTCACCTTGGGGAAATAAAACTTTGGGATTAATACTGACATTCAGGGCTGGGGCTGTCTGTATCTCAGTTGTACTGCTTAGGATGTGTGAGCTTTGGGTTCAAGTCCCTAAAAGAAAGAGGGGGAAAAAAAAACAAGCCTATTTAAACTCTGATGCTCAGAACAATAAATAGTAACATCCAATGAAAAATTAATACCTTGTAAGACTATAGATACATGAAATGAACTTTCATTTTTCAAGAAGAGAAAAACAAGCACACATTTAAGCTGCCTTGCAATTTTAAAAATATTTCGACATTTAGCATCTCTTTGGTGGAGAAACTCCAGCTGAATTTTACAAGGAATACAGCAAACCACAGGCCCAGATCCTGGGCTTTGATTTTAAACTACTGGCCATTCAGCCTTATTGCAGGATCAGGTGGCTCCAGTGGAGGTCTGGTGTGGCTGGTGCTGCTCACCACAAAGCTATGGGAACCCCACTGGAGACACAGGCATACCAGCTTCTAGACCTTTGGTCTGCAAAAATGAGGTGGCCCGGCAGACACCTGAACTTCAGCCCGATCTTGTCTCGTCTGATGGTCATTATATTTAAAAGCTAAGAAAAAGCAACTTTGGGTGAACGTTGACTATCCTATAAACCACCAACCTATATAAAGTTTCCCTAAAATGCAGTTTAAATAAATCTGGTTGGACCATGTTAATTAAAAGACTAACAAGCCTCTTCAACTTTTAACAGAAAAATCATAATTTACAGTTAAAAATAAATATATACCCTTCTCAAATGTTTTACGGGCTTTTAGAAGCAATAAAGTTACAAATGAAGCTTGAAAAACATTAAACAAATGTAAAGGGTCTTTCTGTTTAGGCACTATACTGTAAGCATGGTAAAAATTTTGATACTAGAGCTTGAACTCAGGGCTTGAACACTGTTTCTTACTTTTTTCACTCAAGGCTGGCACTGTATCACTTGAACCACAGCTCTATTTCTGACTTTTAGTTGGTTAATTAGAAATAAAAAGTCTCAGACTTTCCTGTTTCGTATGGCTTTGAAGTGTGATCCTCAAGACTCAGCTCCCTGAGTAGCTAGTATAGCTAGTATTACAAGTGTGAGCCACGAGTGCCTGGCAAAAAAAATTGTTGTTTTTCTCATGGTCAAACATAGGTATTAGGCTTTACTTACAAACAACTGTCTTCCTTTTAAAAATACCTAGAACTTAAACATTTCCCAATCCATCACATATAAATTGGTATAACTTATTTATATCTTCGAAATAAAACATTACAGATCTTCTGACATTATCTTCTTAAAAATAACGTGGCGCCAGTGGCTCATGCCTATAATCCTAGCTACTCAGGAGGCTGAGATCTGAGGATTGCAGTTCAAAGCCAGCCCAGGCAGGAAACTAGAAGTGATGCTGTGGCTCAAGTGGTAGAGCACTCGCCTTAAGCTGAAGAGCTGAGGAACAGTGCCCCAGGCCCAGAGTTCAAGCCCCACGACTGACCAACAAAACAAAAACATGGCAACTAAAACTTTGGTTAGTAACTACAACTTGCATAGTTTTGCACAGCATGCCAGTTAGTACCCAGGTTGCATTTTCTATTTGAGATCATTTGTCTCAAACATAGAAATTATCTCTCTACGTAAAGGCAGGATCTGGTGTCTTTGTGGAGGTTTTTTTTTTGGGGGGGGGTCCGGTTGTGAGGCCTGAACTCTGGGCCTGGGCACTGTCCCTCAGCTCCTTCAGCTCAAGGCTAGCGCTCTACCACGTGAGTCACAGCGCCACTTCCGGCTCTTTTTTTTTTTTTTTTTTTGCTTATGTGGTACTGAGGAATCGAACCCAGGGCCTCAGGCATGCAAGGCAAGTGCTCTAGCACTGAGCCACCTTCCCAGCCCCTTTGTGGAGTTTCTTGAGTACCTGGTCACTTTGAAACTGCCCTTAGACTTCTATTAATTGGCACTGAACATTTTTTTCTGTCTTGACCATTTCTGATTAAAAATTCTCTAGCATGAGAACTCCATACTTGTAAAGCTCTTTTAACTGTCCAATTAATGCTTTCCCTGAGAAATGTGTTAAGCAAACCAGATTGTGAAGGCACAATTAAAAAGACTAATCTGGACTTAGATAAGAAATCGGCAATCCAGGAAAACTTAGGTAAAACTAGTAAAGATGACTAGACATTTAAAATTTTTAAAAAATGTTTTGTTGTGGGGCTTGAACTCAGGGCCTTGGGTGCTGTCCCTGGACTCTTTTGCTCAAGGATAGTCTCTACCACTTTTAGCCACAGCTCCACTTCTGGTTTTCTGGTGGTTAACTAGAGCTAGAGTTGCACAGACTTTCCTGTCTGGGCTGGCTTCAAACCATGATTCTCAGATCTCAGCCTCCTGAGTTGCTACCAGTGTCCTGCTGATGACTAGACTTTAAGAGAAAACAAGTTTTGAAGTTTTTCTGTGTCATACTGTCCTTGATCGGTAATGGAATTTATTGTGTATCTATATTGTTTTTAGCTGTAGTGGTCTAAATGAAGTACGCAAATTGGTATATAATAATCACGATGAGCCTGCAGGGAGGGCTCTTTTAGGGGAGTTGTAGAGAAATAATCAGGTAGAAATGACAAGTACAAGAAATGACTTTTTCCACTTAATTATATTTCCATCGAAAATTCTATTCCATTTCTAGTTGTATGAAACTCATTATAGTGATTAAGAAACACCACGTCAGCACACTGGGAGCTGAAATTGCTTCCTGGTTGGTTAGTTCCCATTACTGTGGTGGGGAAAGTGGCAGGCCACAATTTAAAAAAAAAAAATCTCATTTTCATGGGATACAATTTAACTGCTTTAACAAAAAGGCCACCATTGGAGCTTCTGTCTGGGGATTTTTAAAGATTTTGACAAGGTGGGCAAATCAGCAGCAGCATAAAGGAAATGACCTGCTATAGATCAGACAAGTTCAAGTCCGCTGGACTGCTGTTGGAGGTGTGAGTTTATTTCATTCACTGTCATACTTGATCCTCACTAAAACTAAAGATTTGGTTTGAATTGCAAACAAAACTCTGCCTAAAGCATAAAAGGAGGAAATACTGTAATAAAAGAGCAAGGAGTGATCTCATGAAAACCTCAAATGGGAAATTCTAATGTTCCTCAGTACAAACAGGTGAGATACTGAAGCATGTTTTACATCTCCTTAGCTTCTTTTTTACTTACTCTTCGGAAACATACAGGTCTTAACACTCCTTGGAACCAAATTTCTCTCTAAAATAGCTGTTGTGTGGTGTCTCTTAACGGCCTGAAAGGAGCAACTTTTGGAAGTCTGAAGTCAGTGCTCTGACTTTCTTACCCAAGGCTGTGCCCAGGTCAAATGCCTGAAGGCCAAGGATTCTCTCAGTCAAAGCTGTGCATCTTACTGTTCTGAACACAGCCATTTCATTCTGAAGGTAGCAATGCCTTTGCCGGGAGACTGCTGGGCAGAGCTTCTACCATGAACCTGTGGATTTCTCGTTCAGCCCTGGCTGTTAAGTTCCGCAACCAAACACTGAAACATTATTTTTGACCCCAAATCGTGCCATGTTGGTAGAGGAACAGAATCCTTCCTCACTGCTGATAGAAAGGTACACTGGTATTGCTGTTTGGGAAAAGTGTGGCAGCTTCCCCAAAAGTGAAACAGTTACCACTGGATCTTGCACCCCTAGGAAAACACCCAAGAGAATTGAAAACATTTATCTTTCTCTATATCAATATCTATCTCTCAATCCCCAAATACACACTTTCATAGCACTTTCCATATATTACCAGCTTCCTCTATTTCCCATGCTTGTTTTTGTGTTTTTTTTTTTTTGCCAGTCCTGGGGCTTAAACTCAGGACCTGAGCACTGTCCCTTCCTTTTGCTCAAGGCTAGCACTCTACCGCTTAAGCCACAACACCACTTCTGGCTTTTTGTTTTTGCCAGTCGTGGGGCTTGAACTCTGGGCCTGGGTGCTGTCCTGAGCTCTTAAACTCGAATTGAGTGCTCTACTACTTGAGCCACAGTGCCACTTCCAGTTTTCTGGTGATTTATTGGAGGTAAGAGTCTCGGGACTTTCCTGCCTGGGCTGGCTTTGAACTGTGATCCTCAGATCTCTGCCTCCTAAGTAGCTAGGATTACAGGCTTAAACCACCAGCACCCTGCTTAGCCTTTTCTGTTTATGTGGTACTGAGGAATTGAACCCAGGGCATTGTGCATGCTAGGCAAGCACTCTAACGCTAAGCCACATTCCCAGCCCTTCCCATGTTTCCCATGTATGCAGGGAATGTGAAAGGCCAGAGCATGTTGTCATAATTATACATACAATCTGAGCTATTCAGGAGTTAGAGATCAGGAGGATTAAGGCTTGAGGTGTGTGATATTAGCAAGACCACTTTGCAACAAGTAAGCTGGGTGTGGTGGTTCAGTCATCCTAGCTACAAAGGAAATGTCAAGTAGGAGGGTCAGGTGTCAGATGCCAGCTCCCAGCCAACCCACAAGACCCTATCAAAACTGAAAAAGGCTGGAACTGTGACTCAAGGGGTTAGAGTATCTGCCTAGTGAACACTAGCACTTAGCACCGCTCAGTTCAAAACAAACAAAACAAAAACCACTAGTGTGAAAGGAATAGCATTTTTCCTCAGTAGTGTTTAACTGGTGGTGTTTTAAGTGTGCTTAGTATTTGGTCTCGTTTATTCTTCAGAGCAACCCTGGGCAGTGGATGTTGTTTCTGTCATCATTGTACAAGCAGAAAGGAAGGGCCAGGCTTCGTGAGTCCACCACCTAAGCCCACACAGCTTTCAGGAGGCAGAGCTGGGACTTCACCCTGACCCTGCTGCTGGCTATGTGCTTTTAATCAGAGCCTGTTCAGCCTTTCCCATGTGCTTTTAATCAGAGCTATTCAGCCTCTGCATGGAGAAGTGGCAAACCACAAGAGGATAAGGCTACTGAGCCACAAAGCAAGGTCGTCATCATCTTAAAGGTACAGATGGCTTGGAGGAAGATGCAGGCCAGGGCAAATGAACAAAGATACTGCTGGAGGTCTATTTCTTGACCTCAGGGCTGGTGATAGATGTCTACTTACATCTCTTCTAAAAGGTGGAGGTTTCATGCACTTTTCCATATGTGAGTTATTGCAATTCTTTAAGACACATTTGGACAGGGTGGTGCATACCTGTGATTCTAGCACTAAGACAGGAGGATCAAGAGTTGGAGGCCAGGCTGGGCTACACAGTGAGGATCTTTCTCAAAAATAACTAAGTTTGTGTTAACCATACTGTTTACCAAAATTAGAAGGCACTGGGAGTTTGAAGACCTGCAGGGGTTTGTGCTGTGAGAAAAAGACGACCAGGTTCTGGGAAATGCCCTAGGCAGAGGGTGTCCAAGGACCAGGCAGAGGAGAATGTGTAGATGGTGGTGCTGACATGAGTACAAGGTGGTTCTTTTCTGCTTGGGCACCGGCATTCCCTCAATCAAAATAACTTTTCTGATCAAGATGTGTTCTGCTGTGGACCCTCCTCTACTCTTCTGTGACTAATTGCTGATCAGAAGTCATATGGAAGAGGTGACACTGAGCAAGATGCATTGGAGCTGAAACCCCTATATGTACAATTAAAACTTTTAAAAATACACAATTGTAAATATTAACTATACTTCAAATGGGATTAGAAAAGAGACATTCTGAGGATAAACTAGGACTTTATGAAAATGAATCAATGATTTGTGGAGACAGCCATGGGATGAGGGGAGGAAAGTGATGATGGGAGGGAGGAACCAAGTCACATGAAACCTCCTTGTACAATAAATGTAGGTCAATGAAAAGTACATTAAATAAATCATTATATCTTTCATTTGAAAACCAGTGAAATTCAGTCTGGGTTCTGACATGCTTTTTGTTTTTGGCAGTACTGGGTTTGACTTCAGGGCACATTGCTAGGTGGGTGCTCTGCTGCTTAAGCCACTCTTCCAGCTCCTTTTGCTTATTATTTCTGGAAGATCTGTTTTACTGACTAGCCTGGACTGTGCTCCTCCTTATACTTCCTACAGCACCTAGGAGGATACACTGGGTGTGCTACCACATCCAGTTTGTTTTTTTTTTTTTTAAGATGCTGTCACAGAAACTTTTTGCCCAGGCTGACCTCAAACCATGATCCTTGTGATCTCCAATTCCTGAGAAGTTACAATTACAGGTATGAGCTATCTCCTCCACCTGTTTTGTCTTTGCAAGTAGAAGTTTCCCTATGTAGCACAGGCTGGTATTAAAACTTGCAATCCTCCTACCTTAGCTTCCTGAGTGTGGCCCAAGTTTGCTCTGCATTATGAAGACTGTGCTAGTTGGTTCTGGCTACCATGGCTTAAATACAAAGGAAGCTGAATAGAAGGCAGCAAGGGCATGAGCTGGTGCTGTTTTCAGTGAGCAATGGTAGCTTTGGTCCAACTGTCTGATAGCGGACAGTGGGAGCACAAAATGAGGAGTGTGGACAGCTCTAAATTTAGCTGTTTCGTGGAGTGAAGCGACTCTGGGTTTTGATGCTGATGCACACCAGGATTAACTATCCCCGCCCTTCCGCCCCCGGTTCCCCTGGCTCCAGTTACCCATTCTCACCAATTGATATTTGCAAGAAGATGGAAAAAGTGGACTTCATTACTTCCAGGCATGGGGACATACTATATACCTTTTAAAAAAAAAGGCTCAAAATGCTGAGTTGGCAGAATCACATGTGCAAGTGTGGTTAGAAAATATGGTGTTAAACAGAGCCAATGTGGTTCAGCTTTCTATGTGGCTCACTTGCAGGGCTTTACAGCTAACATGAATTGGATGGTATATCTCCTTGCTGAACACTGTTTCCAACACCTTTCAGAGTAGCAGGGCTTCCCACACAGCAGCAAATCACCCAGACTGGGTGGTGTGTCCTTACTTTTTCTGGTTCTGAGATTTGAATTCAAAGCTTCACATTACTAAACTGGCAATCTACAAACTGAACAATTCCTTCAGCCCTGTTTTTGCTGGCTATTTTTCATATAAGAGTCTCAAAACTTTTCTACCCAGAGTAGCCTGGAACCATGATCCTTTTGCTCTCAGCTTCCCAAGTCTAAGGCATGAGGTACCAGCACCCAGCTGGACGCATTTTCTAACTGAAAACAAACTCTAAACTTTTGCTTTCTTTGTATATGCATGTATGCATGCATGTGTAGATGTGTGTGCATGTGTACTGGGGCTTGAACTCATGGCCTAGCACTTTCCCTTATTTATTTTTTATTTTTTGCTCAAAGCTGGATCTCTACCACTTTCATGTTTGGTGTGTATGACCAAAGCTCAGTCTTCATACAAAACCAAAACCAACAAGTACTTAAACAAAGCCTTACAAAAGTGAGTTTTCTGTTTTTGGTGCTAGTTCTAGGTCTTGAACAAGGTCTAGGCACCATGTCTGAGCTTTTTTTTGCATAAGGCTAGTAGTACTCTACCACTTGGGCCACAGCTCCATTTCCAGCTTTTTTTGGTAATTGGGCGCTGTCCTTGAGCTTTTTGCTCAAGGCTAGTGCTCTACCACTTGGAGCCACAGCTCCACTTCCAGTTTTTGAGGAGTTATTTGGAGAAAAGAGTCTCAAGGGAACTCTCCTGCCTGGGCTGGCTTCAAACCATGGTCCTTAGACATTAGCCTCCTGAATAGCTAGGGTTATAGGCGTGAACCATCAGTGCCCAGCAAGGTGACACTTTTAAAAGATTCACAAGTTTTATTTAGGGAGGGGAGGAACTAGAGACTTGAGAGAGGGCAAGACAATGTTACTGAGGAAAAGGATGTTAAAGGCTTTTGCTGACCCTCAAGGACCCTGTTGGCAGTAAGGGCACATGTAAAGGGCACACGAGGCACCACTGTGTACTGCCCAACACAAGGAGGAACTGCATTCCATGTGCTCATTTTCGGGGAAAGCTGATGTGGAATACGAGGCCCATCTCGGGGCTCTCAACAGCTAATATGCTTTTATGTAGTTCCAGAGAAGAGATCTTGGGCTGCTGAAGCCATGGCAGCATGTCACTCAACAGAGGAGAGGTCTGCATAAGTGCCATCCACAAGGGCCAACATGTCTTGCTAATCCTCTCTGTGGTTCCAGCGCACAGGGGATAATCTGCTGCTTGTTTAGAAAGCACACAGCCAAGCTTCTTAGAGCTGGGTGAAAAGACTCTCCTGTGGAGCTTCACTTACGCCATCCACGCTGGCTGCTCAGCCTCTCAGGCTTAGTTGCAGACCACAGGTTTCACACGGGAAATGTGGCGGGTGGGCCGAGTGCCAGGAAGATGGGGTGCTCCTGTGACCTCTTGCATCAACCCTGGGGTGGGCCAATCTAAGACCGCCATACCTTCTGAATTAAAACATGAGTTTCTAAAACTATGGACCCAACCATGAAGATGTTATTTTATTTTTTAAATGATTCTTTCAAAATTTCACACATGATTATTCACCTACACACAAACTAACCATGAAATAATAGGGAGTAAAATCAGTGGTGGAAGAGCCGGAGATCTGTATGAGCCAAAATGATTCCCAGTTCATCGCAAGCTTCAATTACAACCTTGTCAGCAGCAGAACCGGAGGGAGCTGCAATGTAGGCCACACCGCTCTGAGGGAAAAGCAATATTGATTTTCAATACACATGGCATGTAAACCTGCAAATCTCCAAATCCCCATCCAGAACGACCCAATTCTGTCAAAAAGGCAAGGTAGCAGAACTTGGGCCACTCACTGTTTACATGGAGAAGTCACCCACTTAACCCTCCAAACATTACTGATTTTGTAACACTGCTACTGCTTTGGTACATAACAAGCCTAAACGCCAGAAGCAGGCTTCAGAAGGTGTTTCTGTCTCAGTTCTATGAAGGCATGCAGCTACTCCAACTCACCCTCTTAGCTCTGTCTACATTATCCCTGAAAGGGAAGAAGGCATCCGAGCTGAGAGAAACGCCAGTTAGTTTGTCAATCCACTCCTCCTCCTCCGCCTTTGTTAACAACTCAGGGACTTCCTCAAACAGTGCCTTCCACTTCACCAAGCCTTCCCCCTGTGGAGCGGGAAGAGAAGGTGGTTAGTCTGACATCACCTTTACTGAGTTCCACTTGATGAAAAGTACCATGCAGAAAGCCAAGCTCTCATGCACTTTCCTGTGATTTCTCACTTGTTAAATAATCACACACTTCAGTACAGATTTTTAGAAACTTTTCTTGAGGTTTTGCAAAATACTTCATTACAGAAGAAAAGTGCTCTGAGTTTACCAAGTAGAGATGACATCGTTTTATGTCCTAAGTCAGTTTACTAGACAAAACATTCTTTGTTTGGAATCTTTCAGTTAGGTCTACTACTTTTTATCCCTATAGCAAAGAAAATAGAAAATTATATTCTAAAGGGTTTTCAAAAGAGTCCTTCAACAACATTATATAACAATTAATCTCAAATATAAAGTTAGGTGCAGAAAAATCAAAATATGAATCACAGTATTTGAATATTGTGTCCCTGCCAAAATTTATGCTGAAATTTAATCTTCTTTGCAGCAGTATTGTAAGGACTACAGGGTTGGTGGTATGTGTCTGGAATCCCAGAACTCAGGAGGCAGAGAAGATTGCACGTTTGAGATTAGCCTGCCTCAAAACAGAAATGAGGCTTTTGGGAGGTGATTTAGTCATGGAGCTGTCTTTATGATTGGTCTAGCATCTTCCAAGGTAGACAGAGATTAGTCTCCAACAGACCTCAAATCTGACATCACCTTGCTTGGACTTCCAGCCTCCAGGACTGTGAGAAGTAATGCAAATTACTCAGTCTGCGGTACTCTGTTACAGAAGCACAAATGGACTATACAATTATTTGTATTTTAAAAGATACTTGGCTATACTCCTGTTTATATACAGAGATTCTTCCAGGACCTCCACTTTCTGTTGAGGCAGGGAACACAGAGAGAGTCTCATTAGGCAGCTCACTAACTTGTGATCCTCCTGCTTTAGCTTCCCAAGTTCTGGCATGACAGGGGTGGCCTGTCATTTCCAGCTGGCCCACTTCCAGGACCACTGACATGCATTTGCTCAGTAATATCAGACAGAAAATATCTATGTATTGAAGTGAAAAAGGAAAGATGTTTCAAGTACTTTTGGTTTACAAGGCACAGCCAGCCTCACTGTGATTCCTGTTCCTGACAGATAACTGTGCATGGTCAATGCACACCTTTGTGTGATCACCTCAGTTTTGATTAGTAGCTTCTCTGCTTCCTACCCAGTTTTGTGTTAAACAATTTCTATGTCTAGAAACAGGGCTAAATCTTTTCTTCTGGCATTTTCCTTGAGGTCTGCAATTAATGCTCCCACCTGGCCTTTCTCAAAAACATGAAAAGAAAAAAAAGCAGATCCAGTTAGTGGAATGAGCTGAGGACATGGCTCAAGTGGTAGAGTGGCAAGCACCCATAAGACTTTCAAATCGCAATACTACCACACACACAAAAAACAAAAACCCCAATGGAGTGAGCTGAAGGAATGCAGCTCAATGGTACAGAGCCTGCTTAACATGTGCTAGGCCCAAGATTTGATCACTGGCACCTCTACCTCTAATCACCAAAGTTAAGTAAGACTCAGGATAATGGGATACTACCAAAAAGTTTAACGATTTTAGACAATTTCAAGAAATATTTCTCTCTGTACAATGAAATACTAGTTAGTAACTGACTTGTTACACGTACATATTAACACAGTCCACCCAGAACTCAATCATAAACCTTTACCTCATGGATGGTGCCAGTTACATACTGATCGATGGCATTGGAGATTTCTGCTCTCTTCACCCCAGGTTTAAACTTCATGGAAAGTACTTGTGGATGATGTCTAAGCCACCAATTGTTTGCCTTATCTCCTGCAAGGCGTGTACAGTGTATCCGAGACTGCTGTCCAGCTCCAATGCCAATCACCTGAGGGACAGATATTGAAATGAGCACCTGTTCCAACAACACCTTCTCAAAGGACATCAATAGGGAAGAATTCACTGTGCATTGTTTTTGCTGGATCTCATTTAAAACCAGCAATAGGCACAAATTCCCAAGATTTTAGTCATTAGAGATGGGCAATTTTAACAACTGGAAACCACTAAAGTTATGAGAGTTCTTTCAGGCCATATGTAATTAATATCCACCTGACTGATCAGACCCCCAATTTGTGGACAAAAAAATAAATGAATAAATGCTGAGATGAGCTATAAATACTATGAGAGAAAGCTCCCCATGCTACATCAAACCATGCACCTCCTCACCCCCTAAATTAGGAGAGACCTTCACAGTGAACTAGCTCAACCATGCATTGATTCAGATGTTAAGGAAGAGGTTAATATTACAGATGCTGTTTGACTTAATAATTGTCTTAATAAAACCCATAGTAAAGTTTATTTTGTTTACTGAAGTTAACCCCATACTAAAGTTTACTATGTTTAAAGTTAAAAAGGCACTAAATATACCTACCCTGGCAGGCATCGAGGCTCAGCCCTGCCTACTTTCCACATGCTCACACTAATTTTTGCCTACAGCTTGGCAAAGTCATTTAGCACAAAGCCTGTTTCATAACAAAGGGCTAAAGCTTTCATGGAACTTACAGTGCACTAAACATGAAAACCATGGTAATGTGGGAATATTTCTCAACACCCTCCATTGGAGGTATTGCCATGAAACAGCTGAATGCTTCTTTAAGATGGGGACCCTCTGCACCTTGACTGTAGCTGGAGTTAGGGTATAATGTGTGAAAACTACACTTAAAAAGTCTAACTTTCACTGTACATAAATTATGCCTCAATGAGCCTGATTTTCTCTTAGTCTAGTTGTCATGCAAGAGGCTAGGGAGTGTAGTTAAGTGGTATAGTAATTGCTTAACATTTGGGTAGCCCTGGGTCCAGGCCTTAGCACTCCAGACAAAATGAATGGATGAATGAATGAATGCATGATGAACAAATAAAACATGAAAATACAGTCTGATAGCTGATGGTTCCCTCCCTCCCTTCCAGTTTTATAACAATCAGAGTCCTGCAAATCCAAAATGTGCCAACTCATTCTTGACTAATTTTAATACTAGTTCTAGATTTACTTCTTAATCTTCCATAGTTTTAAGTCTATTCAAATGCTGAGTAAGCACTGATTAACTGGAAAAAGGTAAAATTTCCCTTTCAAGCTGTCTACTACCTGAGGCAGATGTATTTTTGAACATCATTTTGTAAAACCACAGACACCCCAAAGGGAAGTTTGGCAGCTTGGTTACCTGCCCGTTCTTGGCATAGCAAACGGAGTTAGACTGAGTATACTTGACAGCGACAGTAGCTACGATGAGGTCTCTGAAGGCAGACTCTGGCAACTGAAATAAACAGAATGGCAAACTGAAGCAGGCTTGTTAATAAACACATTAAACTTTAAGCTTCTTACCTACAGCTAACAAAACAGACCAACAGCAGACCCACTTTGTAGTCATGATGCTTAAATGACAGTAACATGAACTGCTCATGCCACATACTTCCATGTTTACTAAGAACAATTATATATTTCAGATCCTGTGGTGGAACTGTTGGCGCAGTGCCCAGTAGTAGCATAGACTCAAGCTGTGACAATTTCTAACAATTCTACATCAAGCCTGTATACATCACACAGGATATGCAATGCAGTATTTTGTTAACTAGAGTACTAGTTATAGCTTCAATTACCTAGAGCTCTAATAAAACTTATATTCAGAAACAATGCTAACATTTTCTTAGACATAGTGGATCATTGTGGTATACACACAAGCCAAGGTGTTCTGGGAAAATCAAGTTTGGCTTCTTCAAAAGCAAATGTTTTGACTCTGAAGGAAATCCCTTGTTACAGAGGATAAAAAGACAAAATACAAACTGGGGGGAAAAACAATAGTACTTGTAATGCATTAAAAACAGAAAAACAAAACAATACCTCAAAACTCAGTAACAAAACCTGAAACAACTTAAATGAAAATGAACAAAAGCTACAAAAAGATTTTTTACTAAAGATGGCAAACAATCATATGAAATAAAAGTTCAATATGAGCTATTATTATACAAATTAAGTCAGAATTAGTGCGATATTACCACAATTATCAAATCTAAATGAATACCTTCACAAAAGCTGGTAGCAACAGAATCACTCATCTATTACTGTTGAGAATGTAAAATGCTGCAAAGCTGTACATCCTCTCTGCAAAACCCTTTGGAATTCTTTTTTTTTTTTTGTCAGTCATGGAGCTTGAACTCTGGGCCTGGGCGCTGTCCTTCAGCTCTTCAGCTCAAGGCTACTGCTCTACAACTTGAGCCACAGTGCCCACTTCCAGCTTTTTCTGTTTATGTGGTGCTGAGGAATCGAATCCAGGGCCTCTTGCATGTGAAGCAAGCACTGGACCACTGAGCCACCTTCCCAGCTCCCATCCCTTTGGCAATTTTAAAAGACTAAACACATAACTGCTATGTCTTGAAGCAACAAACATTCCTGCTTAGGAGTGAAATGGAAATTTTGGCAGAGAAATGGAAACTTATGTTCATATGAAACCCATATATGAATATACAGTGGCTGTCAAGGTTGAGGAGGCAGGGCAGCAGGGAAGGGAATAGCAACTGAAAAGCAGCAGGCGAACCACGAACAACAGCAGTTTTCAAGTTTGCAATAACTAAGACGTAGGGCTGGGTGCAGCTTCTGGAAGCTTTACAGTGCTAAGGGACAAACTGGAGTTCGGGTACACTAGAAAAGAGAATTCTAACAGATGGCCAGGGTTTCTGCAGAGTAGACCAGTCCTCACAAATGCTGAAGCCCAAACCAGCTGAATTACTTGACAGCCAGAGATGAGCACTCTCTCACCTGCCTGCCACAAAGTGCAAGTCAACTCTCTGGAGACAGGTAACACCACCCATGCTCTCAATACTCTTTCATAGTCAGTGCCCAGCATTCAATCAAAAATTCTAGGCACAGGTAAACCAGAAAACAAAGGGATGACAGCTTCAAAATACTGGAAAAAAAAGCATAGCCAATTCAGACCTGAAAACAGCCTTCAAAACTTGACAAACAGACCAATTAATCCTTCAAATCTGAAGGCCCAATATCTCAGGGGCTAGGGCTATAACTCAGTGGCAGAGTATATGCTTAGTATATGCCCCCCAAATCAAGAGGGGGAAAAAAAAAGAATTTCAGAAAGCAAATACTAGCTCCATTTTCCCCTTGAGTAAACTTGGACAAATTTCTACAGTTGCTTATGCCACAATTCTGCTATTTACAATACAGATGACAGTCACCTACATGGTATGTTGAGATATAATACATGCTCATTCAAAGAATGTGTACCTCCTACATGATGACAAAGAGCATAAGAATGAAAACTTGTCTACACAAACATAAATGATCACTGCACAGGAAATGAAACAACTAGATACGCATCAGAGAATTTCTGCCTATACATGGTTTATCATGGTGTTTCAAAAAGGTGCTAACTAGTATGACCTTCTAAAGTTACTTATTAGCATTCAGTTCAATCCTTTTCTTACTTACATCTTTATTTTTGGTAACGATGTTGTTGAATAATGACCTGTTGATGACACCATTGTTTCTCTTCTGGCTTAAACGAAGACCAAAGAGAGTTCGAACTTCATTTTCATCTGGTTTATAAGATTGGTCCATCTAAGAAACAAATTTTAAAAGTTAAAAAGTAATTATATCAATAATCTTCAAAGTCTTCATAAAGGTTCTAGGCCTGCTGGCCACAGGACTGTCATCCCAGCACTTGGGAGACTGAGCAAGAAAATCCCAAGTTGAGGCCAGCCACTGTGGCCATCAGGGCTCAAGCAGTAAAGCATTAGCCCATGAGCATGCACGCTAACAAGCTTGAGGCCCTGAGTTCAAAATGCCACTACTATCAGCAACAACAATAAGAAAGTAAAGGAAAACAAAAAGAATGAAGACTGAGATGGCAGCTAAGTATGGCTAAATGTGGTCAATTCTTACATGGAATCTATGGTAAAATGTAGAATTACTGGCATTTTAAGAATATACAGGATAAACAAAGGAGAAGGATATACAAATATGGCTCTCCATATTTGTGCATTCTGCATTTGTAGCATCAACCAACACATATTACAAATATTAAGAAAAAAATAACCACATTTGTCCTGAATGCATATAGCCTTTTTTCCTTTCATTATTCCCAACAATACGGTTTAACAACTATTTACATCTTATTTCTCTTAGAGGAAAGATTACAGATGGGGAAAGAGACACTAAATAGAAGAGCAAATTACTGGTCTAAAGAACAATTGCACTGACCTGAATAACACAGTAGTTTCCATTTTTCTTTTTAGAAAGTATTTTTAAGGCTTCTTCCTCATATCCTGGGGCAATAATACCATCAGAAACCTGCAAAGATATTCAATGTTAATTTTAACTCTAATTTTATTGTTATTATTGAGGTATTGTATAAAAGGATTTTCTTTTGTTGGTTGTGGGGCTTTAACTCTAGGCCTGGGAGCTCTTCAGCTCAAGTCCAGCACTCTACCACTTGAGCTATAGCACCACTTCTGGTTTTCTGGTGGTTTATTGCAGATAAGAATCTCACGGCCTTTCCTGCACAGGCTGGCTTTGAACCACGATCCTCAGATCTCAGCCTCCTGAGTGGCTAGGATTACAGGCATTAGCCCAGCTATCAGTAGCATTCCTTTTGGACAAAGTCACCCCTTCCTTCACTTTCAATGCTCATTTTAAAAACTGTGGATTGCTGATGAAAAAACCTAGCAAGTTATCTGTCCCAGATACTGCAGCAGTACCATGAACAGATGACACTAATACTAAACTTGGGATACAGAAGTACTTTCTATAGCTGACCTATCTTGTTTGCTGTCCTTTCATTTCATTGTTAGTTTTAACTAAGTTTTACTATATGGATGATTTTCTCAAAAAGGAAAACTAATTCTTATTATTCATGGGGTTGAGTTTTGTACTTGAAAGAGCATTCTCCATTCCCGGTGCTGAAGTACCTGCTCATGTGGCTTAGAGGAGGCCTGTCCCTCAACACCAAGCACAGAGATTAGCTTCCAACATACGGTTAACACTTCATAACTAAGATAAATGTCACAGCCTTGAGATAACCTGTAATATGCCATGTCAGGTCCACTCTGGTTGGGATAGTAATGGTCATGTATATGATCTCTAAGTATTGCCAAGCTACAGGCTCCTCTGCCCTTGAACTATGTTTTGTTTCTTAAATCTGTTTCAGCTACCTTCTTTTTATCTTTTCTTCTGTCTTTCAACACCAGTGGCATCCCTGATTTTTCATTTCGTGTTCAAATGATGAGGGCTGATTCACATATTAACTTAATTTCCCCCTTTCTACACACACTGACAATAAGATTGCATTAATGGCATTCAAAGATATGCCTGAGAGAATGTAATAGGAACATATAAAGCAAAACTTTATAAAAACAGTCAGAGGAAGTGGCGCTGTAGCTTAAGTGGTAGAGCGCTTGCCTTGAGCTGAAGAGCTGAGGGTCAGCGCCCAGGCCCAGAGTTCAAGCCCCACGACCGACAAAAAAAAAAAACAAAAACAGTCAGATATCCATTTGAAACATTAAATCTCAAAATGAACAACTGAAAGATTCAGCTTCTACATAAAATATCAATATCTCCTTGATAATTTTAATTAATTAAATATAATATAAATACTGCAAGTCAGTGTTTCTATGAACAAATGCCACTTTATCAATTTATTCATGGATCAAAATACACAGTATCTACTAACTTCTCTTGAGATAATTTTTGCAGTGGGGACATCACAAACATCAGATAATGCAATGAAGTCACCAAATGAAGACATTCTATCAGCCCCTGCAAATCAAAGTTACAAAAAGGTATTAGCATCATTAAGTATACTCAAAGATTTAAAAAAAAAAACAACCCTGTGCAATCATATAAAATCTATTTTCTCTAAAGTTAATTTTCTGTATAAGCTTTAATTAACAGACCAATGTCATTTTAGCAAGCAGTAACAGGTATTCATTAATTTTTAGTTTAGCATTTAGTAAACTTTCTCTCTTAAAAATCAAATTAAACATTTTCCAAGCTTTTCAGCCACATAGTCTATACCTTTCAGCCAAATGGTCTCAAATTTTAATTTGTAGTTCAAAATCAGCCACAGAAAATATTTTAAAAAATGGCTTTAATCCAAATATATTTATAGAAATAGAAAGCAAGACTGGATTCAGCCAAAGGGATATAGTTTGCTAGCCCTTGATATATATGGTAAGTTATGTTTACTAGAAATATTCCTTAACAAGAATTACATGTTTCTGAAATACATAAAATATAACTTAACCAATTCATAAAAGTGCATTCAAAAGCCTAATCTAAACTTATACAAACCAAATTCCATTTGTGTTTCCATTTAGTACATTATAACACTGACATACCATTAGGTTTGGTAGTATATACCTGTAATCCCAGCACTCAGGAAGCACAAGCAGGAGGACTGTAAGTTTAAGGCCAGTATGGGTTACATGTAAGACCTGTTTCAAAGCCTTTTAAACATATTTATTATGAGGTACTTATACATTCATTTTCAAATGAAAACAAAGATAGACTGATATCTCACAATGAAGAAAAACTGTTACTGGTTTATTCTATTCACGATAAAAATACTGATTTTTTTTTTACCACAAAGTCAAACATGGTGGTTTTCTGACCTCTTGCTCTTGCATATGCAGTTGACACAGGTGTCAGAGTGTCATAGAGGTCGTAGACCATACAGACTTTGGCCTCATCTTTACTGAGTGGAACTCCAACAGCAGCGCCTGGCAGAGAAACCCATGAAATATATCATAAACCTAACAATCTCAAGTTGCCACTTGTCAATCCCAACATTCAAGCTTTTTTTTCCCCAAAAATTATCTACATAGCACATTTTCTAACATCTGTACTAAATTAAATAAAAATCTAGCATCTACCCTGAGCAACAGGAACCAGGATACAAGGACACATGCACCTCCATGTTCACTGCAGCACTGTTCACAATAGCCAAGATATGGAAGCAACCCAGATGCCCCACTACAGATGGATGGATCCAAAAATTGTGATAGCTATATACAATGGAATATTCTACAGCCATTAGAAAGGACAAAATTATGGCATTCACAGGGAAACGGATGGAACTAGAACAAATCATTTTGAGTGAGGTGAGCCAAGAGGAGAGAGACAAACGGCACATAGTCTCCCTCATATGTCGATGTTAAATCCAAAATGCAAGGAGATATGACAAAGTAAACAGGACTCAAGAAACAAAGGACCTCCACTCAATTTGTTGCATCATTTCTGAATGACTCCATGTTCTTGACCACATATATATCTATATATATCTACACATACACACACACACACACACACACACACAAACACACACACACACTGAGGGAAGCACAGAATCAGAGGGAAATGGGAAAATTACAACAGAGGGGCCCATCAGCTGCACTGGACATTGATGAAAATGAACTAAGCAACTCAAGGGCAACAATGTGAGGGAGGGAATGAGAGGGAAAAAGGAAACAGCTTATACTAAGCAAAAGGAAAGAAATGTACGTATCACTAGATGTGGAAGAAATAGTTGTATTGTCAAAGCGTATGGAATTCACAAACATTATAGACCATGATAATGACAATTTGCCTCATGAAGGTTAGAATGTGTTTGTGACTATTACTATCTCACAATACTACAAAATTTGTGAAATTTATATAATCAGTTAATCTCTATAAAAATTAAAAAAATAAAAAATTCCACTATTTAGCTAGGTAATTAAATATCAAAATATAGTTGTAGGAGGTAGGGGGCATTCTCTTCTCTGTCCCCTAACAGCACAGAGCCACTGGAGGCCACTGGAGGTAAAAGAAGCTGTCTACTGCTGACTCTTCCTGTTCTGCTGGGTGTCGCACATCAATTATTTCCACCCCACTCACATCACTAACATCCACTGACACTGAGAAGCACTGCACGTTAGACCAACAGACCTGCTGATACCTTCAGATGCCTACAATGCAGAATTAAAGACCTAAATGGAGCAGCAAACAGGTATCTCACAGAATGGCTAATAAAAGTTTACAAGTAAAGCAAGAAACACTTTTTAAAGTATAGAAAAATATTCTTTGGTCTATTAAGTTAAGCCATCTCATTCACTTTTAAACCGTCAGGTTGATATTGGTAAGATTCTCCTATCTCATAATCACTCCATACAATTATATGTATCAGGTTTTGGTCATATTAGTACTAATACCATTATCCGCACACCTGCCCAAAGTGGTTTTAAATACAATAAAACACCTATACTGGTGTTATGGCTTGTCAACATTCAAAAGAACTTTAAGAGCAGGGCATTTACAGCTCCGCCTATAATCCTGCTACACAGAAGGCTAAGATCTGAGGACTGCGGTTCAAAGCAAGAAAATCTGAGAAACTCTTTATCTCCAATAAACTCTTTCTCCAAAAAGCCACAAGTGGAGTTGTGGGTCACATGGTAGAGCACTAGCCTTGAGCAAAAGAAGCTCAAGAACTGTGTCTAGACCCTGAGTTCCAGCCCTCCGCCCAGCATTAAAAAAAAAAAAAAAAAAGAATTTTAAAAGAAATGTAGGGCAACTGAGCTCAGTGCTTACCTGCGGGGCTGACATGCTTGAAGGAGGCTGCAGCTGGGATGTCTAAGGCTTCTTTGAGCTCCTTTACCAACTGCCAAGCATTCAGAGCATCACATAGGTTTATAAACCCAGGGGATCCATTCAGAACTATACATAAAGACATAGAAACTTAACCAAGCAGGGTCAACAGAATCAGATATGTGTGACTTTCTTAAAGTACAAAACTACATTAAGACCCTAAATGTTTTAATATATTTAAAATACAAACAGATACAGAAAACATATTAATAACCTGATGATAAAGGAGAGCAAAGCAGCTAAGTGTGAGCCCATGTTTAAAAAATGTACACATGGGCTGGGAAGTTGGCTTAGTGGTAGAGTGCTTGCCTTGCATGCATGAGGCCCTGGGTTTGATTTCTCAGCACCACATAAACAGAAAAAAGCCAGAAGAGGCACTGTGGCTCAAGTGGTAGGGCCCTAGCCTTGAGCTGAAGAGCTGAGGGACAGTGCCTAGGCCCAGAGTTCGGCCCCCACAACCAACAACAACAAAAAAAAAATGTACACACATATGCACACACACTACCCGAGCACCTGATCTGGCCAGACTAGAAGTAAATCAATAAAGAAAGGAGTTACAAGAGTAGCAATGAGCCAGCTTCATGTAAAAATTAAGAACCTTAAACAACTGCAGCAGGTAGTATAAATTTTAGGTTATAAACCCTTTCAATTTAAAATATTACACCACAAGCTAAAGCAAGAGCAAGGTGGAAGGAAAGAAGGGCAAAAACGTATAGTGCAGCAGACACAAGAAGCCCTGCCAAGAGCGGAACTACAGATACAAGAAGACCATAGTTTTAGAGTTTGTCACTGTCTAGTTTCTAGCCAGTGATACAATTTTTTGTGTCCTGTGAATAAGCATAAGAAATTCAGTACACAGCCAGGCGCCGGTGGCTCAGCCTGTAATCCTAGCTACTCAGGAGGAGGCTGAGATCTGAGGATCGCGGTTCAAAGCCAGCCTGGGCAGGGAAGTTTGTGATAAATAAACCGCTAGAAAACCGGAAGTGGTGTTGTGGCAAAAGCTGAATAGCACAAGGACAGAGCCCAAGCCCACAGTTCAAGCCCCACGACAACAAAAAAAAAAAAGAAAGAAAAGAAAAAGAAATTCAGTACAGTTGGATGCCACTAATTAAAAACAAAAATGTGTGATTTCATCTCCTTCATGTGTTATGTTAGATGGGTAAGACTTGCTGATACTACAGCATCAGTCACTGTTCTTGGTACCCAGGACACATTCCTCATTCCTCCCACACTCCCCCAAAATGTAACACCCTCATAGAGCTTTCGGGGAAGGAGGAGTGATGACAAGAAACAGAATAGACAACAAACAAACAAAACAATAAACAACAAACAAAAAATGTTAGTTATTGATCCAAATGAGTTGAAAAAGTATGTCATAAGAAAACTGCACATAGTCAGAGAATCAGCTCCTTTGGCCTTTCTTGCCTTTGGTGTCCTGACTCCATGATATAGGCTTACCTGGAAGAGTAGGGACAACAGCTCAGCTCTAACTGCCTCACCCACCTTATCTGAATATGCAGAGAAGGTAAGAGTGTCATGGTCGGATGTTGATGATGACAGCTAAGATTTATTTAAAACGCACTGGGCCAGATACTCTAGATTCATCATATTATTAAAAATTTTCCTTAGCCAGTTTTGTGCTACAATAACAAATACTGGTGACAAGGTAATTTATAAAGAAAAGTAACTTATTTCAAAGTTCTAGAGTTTGGAAATTTCAAAATTCTGGGGTCTGTGTGCTGTATCACAACACAGGAGATACCACGGGTTTGAGGGGACCACTGCCCCTTGACAGCACCATTAGTCCACTGATGAGGGAATGCCCTCGTGACCTCATCACTTCCTAAAACTTGCTCAAAACCACACAGATGTAGAGGATGGAGGCTAGAATTATGCTAACTCAAACCGCCTACCTTGCTTCTTCCATCACTCACACACTGGTAACAAGGGAAAAAGGAAGCTGACCAGAAGGCCTGCTTCTTTCAACCTGGGATCTGGCATGTTTTCAAGTATGAATAAAGTTGTCTGCTCAGATCCAGGGCCAACCCCCCTGGGTACTGCTTAACCTCCAAGCCCCACAACTGAACTCCTTTGCCATTCTCAACACTCCCTCCTCTGAGATGACATGCTCTAACAGCCCGACTAAGGAACAGAGCAGGGAAAAATACTGAAAACCCCCACTTAACCCACAAACCCAAAGTTCTGGTTTCTGTTTGAAGAATTACCCACCAACGTATTTGCTAACTTCAAACTTGCATTTTGGCCCGATACAACAATGCTTCTAGCCCCATCATCCCAACATCAATGTTTCTTTATTATTCCCCAAATTAATAGTCCCTTTTCTGTTCTCAGTGGTATTCCAGATTCAGATTTTCCTCTGCTGGTTCCTCTACTGCTTACCAAGCAGGTGGTAAAGCACTTCAAGGCATGGTCATGATCCTCTATGAAATCTAGGCCATACCATTCTGTCTCAGGTCTTCAAACAACATCTATAAACAAAGACATTCCATCCACATGTCCAACTTGACCTCTTCCCACAATTGTGATGTGTGGGTTATATGGTAGGACAAGGTACAACTCCATTATTTGTGCTCACAAGTCCAACTGGCATCTCAGATTTAGATGGCTTTAAGACATAGTATGTAATAAAACTTCGAAATTTGATCCAAATCAGACATGACACACGACACAGAAAAAAACACATGTATCCAGACAGCACACTGTGCCCTACAACACAAGGCTTCACCTGTGATGGGGAGCTTGGGCTTCAGGGTGTACAGCTGGGCAGGAGTCTGATGAGGGTTCATTCCATACCTCAGGGGCATCTGAGATTTTCCTTTGCTGTACTGTTTCCTCAAGTAATCTGAAATTGCTTCATCATATTGTGCTGTGAGAGTGAAGGCCTATAAAAAAAAAGGTAAGTTGTTAGAGACTGAGAACATCTGGAAGGGGGGACAAGATGTTCTAATGCATACACTGGACACACACACACACACACACACACACACCAATTAACAGTTGATGGCAAACCTAAATTATCTTTCCCCAATTCTGTTTCAAGTCTCTCCTTTTTATTTTTATTTGTTTGGTATCAGTCCTGGTGCTTGAACGTGCTGTCCCTGAGGTTTTTGGTCAAGGCTAGTGTGTTCTACCACTTGAGCCAAAGCTCCACTTTCAGTTTTTTGGTGGTTAACTGGAAAGAAGCATCTCAACAGCCTTTACTGCTTGGATTGGCTTCCACGATCCTCAGATCTCATCTTCCTGTGTGGCTAGGATTAGACATGAGCCACCAGCATCTAGCTAGTCTCTCCATTTTTAATAAAAAGGTAGCAGCCCCAAGCAGTGTCTCATTAGCTCCTCTAGGAGGAGCACTGTTTACTAGTTACTGTGCTAGGTGGATGTTATAGTATTACAGAAGCATGTTCCTACCTTCAAAGCTAACTGGCGCCTTGTCTCCAAGGATGTGTCATGACTGTCAGAGCTTTTCATCTCTGTGGACACTGCCACATAGTCCTCTGGCTCACACACCACTGTTACTCGAGCATGGTTTTTAGCTGCAGCTCTCAACAAGGCTACTCCACCTTTAAAGGACAAAAGACATTTATTATTATTATATTTTTTTTTTTGTCAGTCGTGGGGCTTTAACTCTGGGCCTGAGCGCTGTCCCTCAGCTCTTCAGCTCAAGGCTAGTGCTCTACCACTTGAGCTACAGAGCCACTTCCATTTATTATTATATATCCATATATTGGCATTTCCTTATGAGGTGATAAACCTCTTTCAAGCTTCTACTTTATTACATAAAAGAACAAATAAGGAAAAGTGAGCGATATAAACTGGCTAAGAAAGGACTCTTTAAGCAAGGTGTGGGAGGCTGGGGCAGTGAATCTTGTGTTTGAGGTCCATCTGAGTTACTTAAGAGAGTTTAAGAGTAGCCTGGGCCACCTAGTGAAAACCTGTCTCAAAAGACTACACACATACACACACTTGCTGAACAGCAGAAAGTAAACTTTATTAGAAATTTATTAGAAATTGTCAGTCTTCAAAATGATTTGTCTAACTTACCAATATCAATTTGCTCAATAGCCTCCTCAATAGTCACCTCTGGAGAAGCCACGGTCTTCACAAAGGGATACAGATTACAGGCCACAACTCTAAGATCAACAGAAATTTATTTGCATTAACAATCTTAACCTATATGGTTTATATATATACATGACCAAACGCCATATAAAATAAAATATAAACTGTAAACTTGACATTTTAAAACTCAGTAAAAATACATACTAACTCTGGAGGTCCTATGGTTTAGAATACATATTATTTGTCACATACACCATTCTCTCAGAACCATACTTCAATGTTACTGCTTGGGTAACCTGAACTCCCCTGTACTACCTGGCCATCAAAAATTTACTTTTTTTTTTTTTTAACCTGGTATGGTGACACACACCTGTAATCTCCTCTAAACAAACAAATAAATAAAATGATTTAAAAAAAAAAAGGGCTGGGCACTGGTGGCTCATACCTGTGATCCTAGTACAGGAGGCTGAGATATGAGGATCATCGTTCAAAGCCAGCCTGGACAGGAAGATCCAAAAGACTTACTTCCAATTAACTACCAAAAAATCGGGAGTGGCGCTATGGCTTAAGTGGTAGAGTGCTAGCTTTGAGCTGAAGAGCTGAGGGACAGCGCCCAGGCCCAGAGTTCAAGCCCCATGACGGACAAAAAAAAAAAAAGACAAAATTCAAAAAAAAAAAAAATCACACTTAAGACTGTGATTGCTATTTTCTAGGACATCCAAATTTGTATTTTTTCCCAATGGGTTACATACAATGATGCAAAACAATGGAGTATTTTAAGGGCATTTTGCCCACAGGGAAATCATGAAGATAATTACAACAGGAAGGCTGAAATAACATAAAAGTTAGAACAATTAAGAATAACCAGTGAAGCGGAGATTTACCTCCAGGACTGCAACATGAGAAGCTCTGTAGCCCTCTAGCCTAATTAGAAAAAACTGATGCAGTTCATTCTAGAGGATTTTTATCTAGATGTCCAAACTAGACAAATATGAAAAAAAAACACTTGAATGTGGTGATGGTAATACAACTTGTATGAATATACTTAAGATCTTTGAATGCTGTATTTTAAATTGGTGACCTGCATATATGAATTACAACTCAATTAAACTATTACACGTTTCAATGAACAATAAGATGGGTGTGGTGGCATAATGATTGTAATCCCAGCACTTAGAATGCTAAAGTAGGAGGCTTAAGAAGAGTTCAAGGCCAGCCTGGTCCACATAGACACACAGACACACGCGCGCGTGCACGCACCCCCCCCCCAAAAGTTATACAGTTAAGAAATGTAAATCTGGCAAAATTAAAATGCTTACACAGGCAAAACACAGAAGAGATTCACTAAAGTTACAGTGAGTAAAAGAAAAAAGAAATATTCATATTCTGTCTCTGTTCCTTAATGTGTTAAAATATTCAACTTCAAATTTTACCTTATAAGATTGAAATCAAGTCGGGACATGTCGACATTATCTTCTGGGATATTACGAGCCAGAATTCCTAATTTTACAAAGTTAAAAAAAGTATTAAGTTCAAGATATTCCTTTCAATACCATGCCCACAGTTAACTCTGCTAATGTTCTTTTTTGGGGGACTTTAAGACAAGGTTTCACTATGTTGCCCAGGCTAGTCTTAAACTTCAGGCCTTGAGCGTTTGGATTATAAGTACATGTCACTGCCCCTGGCACCTCTGACAGTCTTAAAGAATATAAAATGCCCAGTCAAAGAATTATCAAACAACAGCAGCAGCAAAATACTAGGTATTGTAAAATCTTTTCAATCAATACCTAGTTCCTTTAATTGTATTTCTGTGGTCTTTTCTATTTTGGTAAAGGGATCAAAAACCAGAGAATTATACTTGCTAGGTAAGTTCTTTTCCACTGAGCTATATATCCCAACCCAAATTCCTTTACTGCTTTTTTTTTCTGGGGGGGGGAGCAATTCTGGGGCTTGAACTCAAGGCCTGGGCACTGTCCTTGAGCTTCTTTTTGTTCAAGGCTGGGACTACCACTCGAGACACAGCACAACTTACAGCTTTTTCTGTTTATATGGTATTGAGGAATCAAACACAGGGCTTCATGCATGCTAGGTAAGCACTTTCGCTAAGCCACATTCCCAGCAAGAAAACACAAAGGAATTTTTCTGCAACTACTGTGGGTCTATCATAGTTCATTTGTTCTCAAGCCAATGACTTTTCTATGATCCTCAGCCTCTGAGCCTCCATTCAGCTGCATTTTTCTACAACTGTGGAGTTAGCAATATTCTACTGGTAAACATTTTGGCTTTATGAGCAGTGCTGTGTCTAATAAACAAATGTAAGCACACTGAAAGTCAGTTATACTGTGCCACTAAACTTGTATTACTTTAAAAGTCTATACACTTTGTGGTTAGAACTACATATTATATATTATGAAATATGGAAGCAAATGTAACAAAACCAAAATAACTCGAGGATTAGATTCAAGCTTATGATTTACTTCTTCCCCTTATTTTCTGTGAAGTTATTAATTAAAATATTCCTGAAGTCTGCTAATTGTTTTATACCAAAAGTATCAACTACTTACCAGCATGGACTGCAGGATGTAGGGTTTTCACACGGCCCCCTAACATTTCAGGAAATCCTGTTATTTCAGAGACATCTCTAAAACAGATTTAACCAAACATTATTACAGTTTCTGAACTGTCACTTTACATTATTCAAAGGATCTATCATCAAGTCTATTGCTCTTATTTCAAGAAATTTTGAGCCTGAATTGAATAAAAAAATTACTCTAGTTTTTTAAGTTTTTCACTATATTTAATCCCTCTGTCCCAGAGTCTCTGTGTATGTTTCTTTCCTCCCCTACTCTTCCTTTCTTCCCTTCTTTCTTTCTCCCTCTCTCCCTCCTTCCTTCTGCTGGTTTAAGCCTTGAATTCAAGGGCTCTACAGATCTTGCTCACTTTTTTGCTTACAACTGATTCTACCACTTGAGCCATGCCTCTAGTCCAGCATTTTTGCTAATTGGAGAACTTTCCTGCCTAGGCTGGGTTTGAACCTTGAACCTTAGATCTCAGCCTCTCAAGCAGCTAGGACTACAGGCATAAGTCAACACTGTTTGGTCTACACCGGATTTAAGTAAAATTTTATTTACTTTTCAAAAATGCTTATGGTGTTTTTAAACTGGTATGTGCACAGGGAGAATTATAAATACTAAAGCATTGGTCTTACAGCTTTCAGAAGACAGTCCTAATCCATATAATTAAATATTGCTAAGAATGAATTCAGCCAGACATGGTGGTCATGCCTACAGATCCCAACACTGGAGAGAGACAGAGGAAGGATCTAGAGTTGAAGGTCCATCTGGATTCCACAATAATACCGTTATACAAACAAAAAACAAAAAAATTCAACTGAGAAGCAATTAGAAAGTAATCTCAGAAACTGACCAAAGCAGGAAAAAGAATTTAGTTTTATGATTAAAAAAAAAATCCCAGGCATCCCAGGTCCAACTCCTAGTGCAAGAATGGAGTTTTTCTTGGCCATAAGTATTAGTTCATACCTATAATCTCAGCACTCAGGAGGCTAGCCTGGGCTATACAACAAAGAAATAAGAATTAAAAATTTAAATAAATGGGGAAAGAAGACTGCTCAGTGAAGTGATGCTGATTTTAACATAACTGGGAAACACACACACAAATAAATTACTTTTGGATCAAAGGTTTAAGTATTAAATGTTGCAATTCTATAAATGTTTTTAAAAAACACAAAATATGAGAAAGGGCTAAATGAAGAGGAATAATCATATATCAATTCCTATCAACTGAGCTCCAGAAAGTTGTACCCATATGTGGCAGAATTTACACAGAAAAATGTCTATAGTATATAAAGGAAGAAAAAAAAAGCCAGGAAGCACAATTGTATCTCTCTGTGAACTGTGAAATAAGCATAAAGCATATGCTTATAAAATATTAATATACATTGTTAATAATAAAAGCCATTTCTACTTCTGACATTTTTTATCATTTCCTACATTTTCCAGGTTTTCTACAGTCATTATGTTATAAGTCAACATGCTATAAGAAAATAAACATCTTAAGACAGCAAATTCTGACAACAGGATACTGAATTTCCTGGGTAGACTCTCCTACTAAGGAGAGCCATTTGTGGATGGATGTAGCAAGCATGAGGCCTGGGTTCAATCCCTAATGTAGGAGAGAAGGGAGGAGGAAGAATGATTTATGTGCAAATGAGCCGTGACTGGCCAAGAACATACAGTTCTAGCATCATCTGAAAACTGGTGAACCATGGTTCAAATTCAAAATTTCCTTCATGTAATTCAGGAAATTAAATCTATTTCCCCCAGTTGAGGAAAATAGATTAAAACTTATAGGTAGCAGATCTAGTCATAGAAGTAAACACTGAGTCAATAAAAAAGCTTGTTACTCCTTGGTGCTTAAGAATTTGTATCTAATAGTTGTAGCCTTCAGAAGTACATATTGTACACTCACTCACTGACTATAATCTCATCAGTTTACTTCATAACAAGATTACACTAGCTGTGTGATCTTGGGAAAACTACTTGTTTGTGCCTCAGTTTCTTTTTCTATCTGCTGAGGATACTACCTGTATCAATGTCTTGCAATGACAGGTGTCAATATACATACCCAACGCATCAGCGAACTGGGTCTAAATAAAACCACTGGATCTAAATAAAACCAATAATGGTGAACTCATTCATCCTTTAATGGGGATAGATATATATATATATATTCTTAATACACACACACATTTATCACAATAAAGGTAAGCAAGGAATGGCATGGAACAAGAATGATAAGTATGCCAGGTACATAGTGTCATTTTTTTTTATTTTGATCAGTCTGAAATGTTTCCATAATACAAAGTTGGGGGCAGGGAAGCCACAGATGAGGACTTTCCTTAATTTGGAGAAAATCCAACTAATACAATGGTAACCCCACCTTGGTTCAATGGAAAAATTCAGGTCTGGACTTAGACCTCTCACCCTGCTGCTGTTTACCTGCGTCAACCCACCTGCCCTCTGAGAATCAAGGATCAAAGACAACATGCAAACAGATTTTGAGAAACTTATGCATTTACTGAATAAATAAAGATATTCTTGCCACTTGGACTTGCCAAATGTAGGGAAGCTATATATTGCTCTCAGAAAAGCACTTCCCAAGTAATGGTGGATAATCCACCTCTGTATTTAGATCTTTTTCCGCATTAGATACCAAAACAAATGTATCTGGGAGGTAGATATATCACCCCTTTGAATACAGGCTGTAGTTTACCATCGCTGTGTCCGCTGGTTTTCTGCATTTCCTACTCCCCCTGCATTCTCAATGCCAATTCTTTGAGGATGGGAATGGCCTCTTGATTTAGCTCCTGTATATCCCTTCCCATTTCCTGGTCAGGTAACAGAAAAGCTTTTGAAGGAACAGTAAATGACTTGTAGCTTCATGAGATTACTGCAGATGCAAGAGAGGCAGGTGTGACACTTCCTGAAGTTTTGTTAAAATAATGGGATACATTAAGTCACACACATAGTGTAAACCTTTGACTTGGTCGAGCATCCAATTTGTTAAAGAAAGTTGGCTAAACAAGAACTAAGGCTCCAAAGCCAGGCCCGCTCAACCCTACATCTAAGGCCTTCCTCAACTTTGTGAACTTGTGCAGAAGTCACAAAATTGAGATCTCCGCACCTCCCCTCCCTCTCTGAGCATCAAGTGTGGATAGGGCAGGTACCAGCCCCGCGGCGAGGGTTGTGGGGACCGAGCACTGGGTACTTTATTCTCAGTTCCTGGATTCCATTCGTTTCTGGTTCTCGGAGATGGCACTTTGGGGTTGGACCTCACAAGCCACGACGGCTGGGCCTTACCTGACCGCCAAGCCAGCGTCCCTGAGAGCTTTTGCGGTCCCTCCGGAAGCGACGAGGTTCAAGCCCAGAGACGCCAGGCTTCTGGCAAACTCCACAAGGCCGGTTTTGTCCGAGGCGCTAAATAAGGCTGAAACAGAAGACATGGTTTCCCCTCGTGACTTGCGGTACGCGGCATCGCATTCGCTAAAGCCTGGGGGAGGAGGGCGAGCGGCGCACCGGCGGCCCGGCTGGGCCCACGGGCGAGGCCGCCCCGGG